GTGGTTTAGTAGGCTCTCAAAGTGCTCCTTCCAGTGTTGTTTAATGGCTGCATTGTCCTTGAGGAGAGCCATCCTGGGAATGTAAGGGGAGTGGGCCTTTGGACCTTGGCCCATATATAGCTTTTGTTGCTTGATAGAAGCTTCTCATGTCATCTTGGTCTATGAAACTCTGGATCTCAGAGGTCTTCTCTTGCCACCATTTGTTTCTGATGTCACGTAGCTTCCTTTGGACTTCGGCTTTGAGCAGGTAATAGGTCTCATGTTTTCGTTAATTAGAGGAATCATTGTGCTAGTTACAGAATGCATTTCTTTTCTATTGAATTAATGCTAGGATTTCTTCGTTGTTTTCATCAAACCAGTCTTGGTGCTGATCAGTGGAATAGCCTATGGTTTCAGCACATGCATTGTGAATGTTATTTTTAAGCTGATCCCGGTGCTCTTGAATGTCAGGCAAGTTAGAGAGTTTCTTAGACAAGTGTTGCTGGAAAGTCTCACAGCAGGCTTGGTCTTTAAGTGCTTTGATGTTGTACCGCTTTCACTTAGTCTTACAATTACATGAATGGTTTGAGCATGCTTTTCAATATATGGACTTTTTTGTATAATTTGCAAAACTTGAGTTATACATTGTTATCTATAGACAACTTCAAAGGCTTAAAGACTTTTGGAACTTTTTTATAAGCAGCCTGACTGATGCTTAATATGCCTCTTTGGCAGGTCAAAGAGCTGTTTGTTTCTGTAGATCAAGTATTAATTCCATTCTAGTTTCTAAAGTTGAATCCTTACAGTTCCCTGTAAGCTGCGCATTTGGGTGGCTGCCCAAGAGAGATTCAAGTGCCGTCCAATTGATTAGCAGAGCGCGTACATCTGGCAGTGTGTGTTTAGGTGCCTCTCCCCCTGCTGCTTTGCAGCCATGTTGCTCTGTCCTGCATCTTCTCCCAAGCCCCTCCTGCTGGCTGTGCAGAGTGGTGGGGAGAGGTCAGCGGGAGCAAGGTGCTGATGTCAGGGTGTCCCCCTTCCCCCACCCCTGTATCCCATCTCTGCAGAGCAGGGAAGAGGGGACAGCCTGTCTCAGGAGAACTCGGAGCTGCTGCGGTCTGAGGTCTGAACAGTGATTGAGTGCCTTTCTTAAAGAGACAGCACATGGTTTCTGAGACTTCCCCAGCAGCCAGCTCACCCAGTCTCTCTGTCTGCGAGAGACAGACAGACACAAACTCTCTCTCTCTCCCCATGTACCCCATCTCCGCAGAGCAGGGGAGGAGAGACAGGGTTCAGGACAGGTTTCAGTGAGTGCCTTAAACAGCGCACGGCATCTCATAGAATCATAGAATATCAGGGTTGGAAGGGACCTCAGGAGGTCATCTAGTCCAACCCCCTGCTCAAAGCAGGATCAATCCCCAGACAGATTTTTGCCCCGATCCCTAAATGGCCCCCTCAAGGATTGAACTCACAACCCTGGGTTTAGCAGGCCAATGCTCAAACCACTGAGCTATCCCTCCCCCCCTCGCTCAGAAACTTCCTCAGCAGCCAGCATACAGACCGTCTCTCTCTCTCTCTCTCTCTCTCACACACACACCCCCACACACACACACCCACCCCCCTCTGTATTATTATTATTCTTACTTCTTGGTGTAGTAAGATGAGGCCCTGAAACATAAACTCTTGTGTCAGAGGCCCAGTCTGAGGCCTGAAGCCTGAACCAAAGTACTTCCAGGCATTGCTAAGCAAAAGCTGGACTGTGAGCCAGAGGCAGCCCCCACGCACAGAAGTTGGCGAAAAGAGGGTTGTTAGAAGCAGGTGCATTCACATATAAGTGCTAATAAGAGGAACCTTTGCCAAGATGGCACCTGGACATCCCGATACGAGGACACTCCACAGAGATAACAAGGAACAGGCAAGTGCATCTTAAAGACAGGGTCAAAAGGACAGCATGATGGATAGATCTGTTTGAAAAATGATCAAAGGGGGAGACAGCACCCTAATAAGCCAAGGGGCTGTACCTCAATACGTCAGTAGGGATGAGTAATCTGTCCTGTAACTATATAAAAGTAGGTCCCGGAGTGCACATCTTTGTCTGGCCTAGGGGGTAGTGGAAAGTCCTGCCACTGACTGAGCCGGTCTATTGCCAGGGGGCACAAATTCGTAGTATGTCTTGTAGAGTCTACGGGGAACTATAACTGTACTTCGTTTGACAATAAACCTGGCTCGGGTGCCTTCGTATCTTACTAGAGTGTGGTCTTTGGGGGTTCTCTCGGGGTCTGCTGTGTCAGCTATCTGTGCAGAGCTGGGGCAGCACACAGAGGGAACACGCACACAGCCAACTGTTACCATCGAACAAGAGCAGAGCACCACACCGGTAGCTACTGACAACACATGGTACTTCCTGTAAGGCACATATGTTCTCTATAATTTTATTCTTTCAAAGTGTGTTATTTTAGTTTTTTGACTGGTCTGTGCATTTCATAATTTTGCTCTCTTACACTTACATTTAATTCTTTGAGTAGTGAGTTCTAAAATGCCTAACCTGTCCTGGCTGGAGTAATTATCCTATTGTAACTTTTTAATATACATCTAGGCTTTTTGTTTCTACCGGTGGCTCATATACCTCGGTGCACATAAAATTTATTCCACACATGGATGAAAAAATTAGAGGGAACATTGACCCTACCTGTCATTTTCCTTTTTCTTTCAGTGTTGTAGCCGTGTCAGTCCTAGGATATGAAAGAGACTAGGTGGGTAAGGTAATCTCTCTTATTGGACCAAAGTTTTGAGCTCTGAAGAAGAGCTCTATGTAGTTTGAAAACTTGGTCTGATAAAAGATATTACCTCACCCAACTTCTGTCTCTCAATTTACTTTTGTAAATTTTCATTTAAGGAGATTTAGTTACCAGGAAGAAACTCATTACACAACCCTCTCCATAAAATTCAATCATCCTGAGCTACCAAACAGATTGACAGAATCAGAAATGATTTTACATAATTATTTTTTACAAGTGAGGAGGCACAATAATTACACTCATAAAAAGTCTTCTCTGACAAATCCTCATCTTTTTAAGCGTGATTCTTTATTAGGATAATTTTCCAACAAGATGCAAAGGTGGTACTTAACCAACTATAATGCTCTTTCGTTTCTCCAGGGTTGTTGTAACCACATATTCTAGTCAGCTCATATGAGCTATTACTATGACTGGCGCCCACTAATCTGCATCAACATAGGGGATCTAAGATTTCTTTATCCAAAAATGTATTACTATTCCAGTGGAGAGATGTGCACAACCTGTTTGGTTGAGTCTGTTTTGGCTTCTAAATATATAACATTTCTGATTGTAGGTGCTTGGCACCCTGTGGCCCATTTTTATGGAAAACTCCTATAGTCACTTTTCTGTAATATCAAATGCTTTGGGATTCTCATCTTGTATTCAAATACATGGAGAGTGGTTGTACATTGTTGCTTTCTATATTACTGCTTTTATTTTTTTTTTGAAAATCAGCAACAATTGGATGTGCTAACCCTGTGCCCTATTAAAGGTATACTGACTTCTAAACTCCTCAGAGTCAAAGGACATCATTCTCCACTGCTTTAACCCTTGTGGAAACATTTATACCCACACCAAATAAATGCAAAGTAGGTGTACAATGCTAAAAAAGCAAAATGGCAGTGTTTTACATCCACTTTGTAGAGATATGAATGACTGTGCAAAGCAGAGGAGAATCAGGTCAAAACCACCTTCCCTGTCTGTGTTTTTCCTTTGTCACACTAAATCTATGGAAAAATGGCATATTTCCTGCTAAGTCTCGATCTTCAATATAATCATCTTTGACAATCAAAGATAGACCCTACCTAGTATCTGTATTAAGACTACTACCTTATTTGGTATGGTCATTGGTGTACTTACAATGTATTGCTGTATAAAAGCTTTTACAATCTTTTCCAGTAGAACAGTCCTCTCATTTATTGGACCCTGATTCTACATCCAGACATTTTACTCAATACATTTGTAATCCAAACTTCTGAACACACACAAAGAGCCAGAAGTTCTCATATTATGACAATCACCAGACTTCCTTTTGCAAAGTAACAGATACAGTAAATTGGTATTTAAAGTCATCACAACTATAGGTTTTCCCATCTACTTACTCATTCTTAACTTGCAGGAAGCCAAGAGGGGGAAATTATTAGTTCTTTTCTATTACTAAACATCCTATTTTTTTCTTTTAGTATCTTTCAGTTCTTCAAATTGGCAGCTTTGAGTTTATCAAATATGTTGTACATATGAGACCTCACTGTACATGTGACAGGGGCTTGCTAGAAAATTCTGTTTTCATTTGGAGATACGTATGTTTCATCAGGTGTTTTATTTACAGTGAATTTAGTAATGATACAATGTTGGCTTGATAGCCTAGGAGACTGGACTAGTAACAGAACAGGTACAGCTTATAGAGCTGCTGTAAAGGCTTCCTACAAATGTCTTGTCAATATACCTCAACCCAGACCTCGAGGGACCACATATAGGGGTGTGGTGACTGCTCAGATTTCATTCCCATCCAATTCTTGTCTTTTCAGTAATAAATTTAAAAAAAAATCACATTTATTTTAACGTGGACACGAGTTCACACACAACTTGACTGACACCAACTTTTTCACTGACCATTGACAGATAGTATTACTACCCTGGGACAGATTTAAGTAAGCAGATGCAGGTCAAAGGATTTGGGCCCAATTCATGAATCTGGTACATATCCTTTTGTGCTGCTCTACCAGTTTGATAGGGCTATAAAACAAGCAAAGTAGAAAGCTGGGAATTCCACTGTATACAGGGAATGGCTAGAGTATCTCTATCCACCTCTACCCCGATATAACGCTGTCCTCAGGAGCCTAAAAATCTTACCGCGTTATAGGTGCAACTGCATTCTATCGAACTTGCTTTGATCCACCAGAGTGCGCAGCCCCATCCCCCCGGAGCGCTGATTTACCGCGTTATATGCGAATTCGTGTTATATCGGGTGGCATTATATCCAGGTAGAGGTGTACTTCTATTCTCTGATGGAAGGGCCCATTGGGGCCATAAGGAGCTGGGTTGTAAGATTCCTAGATCAGGGAACTACAAGAATGGCATACCCTTTCTTGGGTCCTGTGTGAAGCAGAGCCTGGCTGGACTTAGGAATTAGGGCCGCCTTGTACTTTTATTACCAATACACCAAGTCAGCCTCTTCCCAACCAGCTATTTCAATTATGCAGGACTAGTATAAAAAGCAGAACCATGAAGGCTGGCACTGGAAGGATCTTGTTGGAACCACAGGCATTTATATATATTGTGTGTCAATTAAAATGTGTAAAAGCTATGCTTTATCCCATATGTTAAGTGGCTTATTCTTTACTTCCACTCACAGATACTCCACTTTACTTAATAACCAGACATCTTTCTTTACTGATTTGGGTTTAGACTTTGCAGGCTAACTGAGAAAACCTGGACAAAAAGTATGCATTTGATATTTATAAAGTGTATATATTGTGAATCATAACTGCTGACAATATTTTTAATCAAAATACTGCAAATGACAAATACCAAACAATGTTTTCATGTGAGCTGTAGATGTAAAATAGTATTTGTTAACACTTAGCCACAAGCATGTACATAGTGGTGAAGAGACATAATGAGCCCCTATCTAATTAATTAAAAATATATATATTTCATTACCAACTTACCAACATATATCTTTAGAGACCAAATCAGCTCTTTTCTAGGAAGTATGCAACAGGCATAATTTAGATAAAGAATTCCCACATCCTGGCATTTAAAAATAAAACAAGCATGAAATTTGTCAATTTCAAACATCATTGCACCAGGCTTCAAGTGACAAACTAGCTTTTCCTTGAATGATCTATTTAACACTGCTCTAAGCCTGAAGAACTGATGCAGCATTCCGGAACTTTTAAATGCATTCTATTGGTTCTTTTCAAACTTCTTTACTGACTTGGTTTGAGGGGATTTTATACAACTGTATTAGTACAAAAAGGTAAACTGACCTTTAGCAATTAATCTCTCAACTGACAAAGTGCATGGAAGAAAATGCACAGCTATGCAAATGCATGCTTAAAAAGGACTACTTTTCAAAGTTAGGTGATATTATTTTATGGCACTTCTATCCAAAGAAATAGGTCACAGCTAGACTCATTTGGCCTCTTGAGGAACTTTGGTATTTCATCCTATAAATCTGTCATGATATTGTCTTACTGTAACTAGAAATAATGGTTGAAAGGGGATTACATGACTTGTATTAGAGAAATGCCAGAGAAGGGTTTCTAGAGTTAGCAAATTCAATAATCTGTAGGCTTTGCTCCTGACTATAATCATGTCAAAATAAAGTTCTATCAGAAAGCAATGATCCTAGAGCTTTTATGTAATATTGTTGCAAAGCCTTCCTGTTTGCGTAAGTTTATACTCTTCAGTTTCCTTATTTCTATCAATTTTGTAGCAGAGTGTGGGGGATGTAATGGGGCCGCTGAATGTGGCGTAGCATTTTGAGTTTCTGAATTTTATTTATAGACCACAGAGCCTTTTCCTTGATGGTTGCTCAAGTTATTTTAATAAAATAAATATTCTTTATAGTATCGATCTTGCCAGATAATATTAGATTTTACTAGATTCTATATTTATTACTCATACATTTTGGAGTTTTCACCTCAATGCTAAAAAAAAGTGTAGAAATCCTGTATGGTACTTTTAAAATAATACACACTTCTCTCAAATTTAAAAAAATAAAAATATATTTGACCTATGAAACTGCTCTCAAAGAAAAGTTAATGGTTATTATACAGGTACTAATATTTTAATTATATAGACTGCTCAGTTTCCAACAAGGTATTTCTTATTTGTAGATTTTTTTCCTTTCCATCTTCTTGGAGATAATCTTTCTGATCTTGTTTGCCGCTGGTATCTTCAACTAGGCCTTTGAGCCGGGACAAATGGTGTAAAGCCCTACATTTAAAAAAAAACAAAACAAAGAAACCACCCTTATCAACAAGTATATATTATGATTTAAGTTACGTATATTTAACAGAAATGGCAGTACTTCATTAACACCACTTAATCAGTTTTGAGGCATCTCTTCAGATTAATACATATTGACATGTAAAACTGTGAAAACAAATTAAACATTTTGTTAAATGCTGATTTAAAGGGACAATTCAACTGTAGACATACTTTCATGACACTGCATTTCTTCATTTTTTCTACAGATGTCTATTTTTCCTATTTATAACTGTTAAAAACAAGAAAGGACGACATTTTAGTCTGCATTATATTAAAAAACCTCAGCTTCTTCTAGGGTCAATGATTTTGCCTAGCAACATACTTAATACTTTAAATTTTATAAATCTGAATTGCCAACTTCTGGCTTGATCTTATTTCCATTTTAGTCAATGAGTTTTAATGGAGAGGACTGGTCCTTTCTTTTCATTACTTATTTAAGAGAATGAGATAGTTTATAAAAAAAGAACTGCAGGGTGATGTGCGGGGTGGTGGTGGGGGTCTCCACCAAGTATGGCATGCAACTCTTTGTAAAAAAGGGACAGATCTGTGGCTTGGCACCATATTGTTGGCCTCCCTGGCCTGTGACACGTCTGCTGCTGTTTCTTTGCTTTCTCATAGCACTGCTGCTTATCCCTGTTGTACCCTTTCTCCTGCATTCTCTGTGCTATCTGTTAGTAGATGTTCACATTTATACGGCTGTTCTGTAGCTGTGCCTGCACAGCCTCTTCTACCCACAGGCCCAGGAGATCCGGTCTACTCCAAGTTGGAGCATGTAGCCAGCATGGTTAGCTGGGCAGTTGCGCACAGCAATGGAGAGCTACCAGGTGTGCCAAGCTGGACAATTAGGAAAAGGCATTTCAAAAATGTGCAGGGCTTGAAAGGCAGGGAAGTGGGATGCCTTCGGGTCACTGTGACCCCGGGGGGTGGAGTTCACAATTGTGACCAGAGTGGTCAGTGTCAGACATTGTGGGACAGCTGCTGGAGGACTGTTAGGGTCAACATAGGTAATGCAGTGTCTATATTCACGCCGTGTCAACCCCAGTACATTGACCATAGCTCAGTTGCCAGTTGGGGAGGTGGCGTTACTATGTCAGCATAATGGAGGGCTTACATCAGTGGGAGACAAATTTAAGCATGCACAAATAGGTTCATGCAAGGAGGCTTACATTGCTCTAACTTTGTAGTGTAGAGCAGGCTTTGGTTTAAAAGTCAAATTAGGATGCTAAAGTAGTGCACTATGTTAGGAAATTATTTCTTTACCTAAGTTATATTTTCACTTTTTACATTTCACTTTTATTTAACATTATAATATAAAAATGTAGTGCACAGTGAAGATGGACAGTTTGTCAAAACAGAATTATACTCTAGCAGTTAAGTTAAAATGATTCTATTATGAAGTCTGTTTTTTCCATTCTGCCTTTTGGTGTTCAAGAGGTTTCCTACCAATTTATGAGCATTTATTTAAATGGGATTCGTGTTTGTTTCATGTACAGAAAATGTTTTCTCAAGTAAGCTATTCATTATGATGCTTCCCTGTCATGCAGCAATGAAGATTTCCCACACAAATTGTTTTCTGGAAGGATCAACTCTATGGTTACTCTTGATGCAACAGTATGCTTCTACACACACATCATCAAATTACATTGGCTACTTTTGCTACCACACTGCATTACAAGTTCATATCTAATTTTTCTGCCCACGATTCCCTCCAAGTTTCTTTCAACCCATCGAAAGTTATACTGTAACATGGTTATTCCACTTTTTAAAAAACTGTTTTCTAGGTGGAATCACTTTTTAAAAAATTTCCTTGTCCCATATTTCTAACTTCTCCAAGTTTTTATTACTTCAGTTTTCACCTGCAAATTTTATAAGACTCCCAAAAGAAATAATGTAAATATTAAGATAAAACCCTACAGCAGCTCACTAGATACTCCTTAGATCCATAAATTGCTATGTATTTTTAGTATTCACAATTAACTTGTGTTTATACATCAGCTAGTTTCCAATCCATGTGATAATTCTCATATCCAAACTAATTTATATTATTTTTCCAAGCAAGACTTTGAGACAGGAGACATTAATTATGCGGCGTAAAAGAATTAGTACACTTACCTTCGAAGGGACTTGGTAATAGGGATCACGACATTGTCACATTGCTTTAATTCTGAAACTGCTTCTTCTGAAAGCTTAAAAAAGAAATCTGTCAAATATAAACAAGTGACTAACAGGGCAGATATGAATAGTTTACATTTATATAGCAACTTTCACCCCATAGGGTCTCTGACAACTTTACAAATTATACACATACTATAAGGATCAGCTTGTTCACCACTGAATCGAGCTTTGTGGGTGAAGTAGAAGAGTTTAACACATTGCAACATAACAGTCTTCAATACCTGTTCCTAATTTGCATCAAATTCACTTGAAACTGCAGAAAAATTAAGGTAGCAAAATGTAATTGCCTAATTCAAAACAGGGTAAGCATAGTATGGATAAAATTCCTTGCCCTGGTGAAAATGACCACTCCTTAACAGACATGGCAAAGATATTTTTGTTAGAACACACTATGCATGAAAGACAGCATCTCTAGCAGCTCAGTACACCCTAACGACTGCTGGCGTCATTGGAAAAGTGTTTTAATTCACCTTCTGAATTAAACACTACTTGTAGCACATGTTCTTTGAAGTCTTCCATCCAGTTACTGACCTGCTCCAACATGGCTTTGGGAGATAGGACAGGATACTAGCATAATGTGACAGGCACATGGTAAGTAACAAGTAGGTAAAGAATTTCTAAACAGATTTTATTGAAACATTTTGTTTCTGTAATATAGGACAATTAAATGCATTTGAGCATGACTTTTCTTCATCTAAATATATGCTTAGAGGCTTTCCACCTTTCTGATGCGATTATAAAAAAGCAAATCCAAATATTAGGTAATGTATCCCTTTAATCTGAAATACCATGTTTCTCACGTAAATCCTTCTTTTCTTCCTGTGCCTAAGAGGATACTGTATAGGGTGAAATTTTCTTATTATATTCAAAATCATAGAATCATAGAATATCAGGGTTGGAAGGAACCTCAGGAGGTCATATAGTCCAACCCCCTGCTCAAATTCCCAACTAAATCATCCCAGCCAGGGCTTTGTCAAGCCTGACCTTAAAAACCTCCAAGGAAGGAGATTCCACCACCTCCCTAGGCAACCCATTCCAGTGCTTCACCACCCTCCTAGTGAAAAAGTTTTTCCTAATATCCAACCTAAACCTCCTTCAATGCAACTTGAGACCATTACTCCTTGTTCTATCATCTGGTACCACTGAGAACAGGCTAGATCCATCCTCTTTGGAACCCCCTTTCAGGTAGTTGAAGGCAGCTATCAAATCCCCCCTCGTTCTTCTTTTCCACAGACTAAACAATCTCAGTTCCCTCAGCCTCTCCTCGTGAGTCATGTGCTCCAGCCCCCTAATCATTTTTGTTGCCCTCCGCTGGACTCTCTTCAATTTTTCCACATCCTTCTTGTAGTGTGGGGCCCAAAACTGGACACAGTACTCCAGATGAGGCCTCACCAATGTCGAATAGAGGGGAATGATCACGTCCCTCGATCTGCTGGCAATGCCCCTACTTATACAGCCCAAAATGCCGTTAGCCCTCTTGGCAACAAGGGCACACTGTTGACGCATATCCAGCTTCTCGTCCACTGTAACCCCTAGGTCCTTTTCTGCAGAACTGCTTCCTAGCCACTCGGTCCCTAATCTGTAACAGTGAATGGGATTCTTCCGTCCTAAGTGCAGGACTCTGCACTTGCCCTTGTTGAACCTCATCAGGTTTCTTTTGGCCCAATCCTCTAATTTGTCTAGGTCCCTCTGTATCCTATCCCTACCCTCCAGCGTATCTACCCCTCCTCCCAGTTTAGTGTCATCTGCAAACTTGCTGAGAGTGCAGTCTACGCCATCCTCCAGATCATTATTGGCAAATGGCAAAAGATACCTCATGTTGGCTTACGTGTTCAATCTACACATCAGTGTATTTGAGTTGAACAGATCAAATTACTAGCCTTGCACTAAAAATGATGCAGACCCCCTTCAGAGGCACTGTAGTAGCTAGCACGAAGTTTTGAAGACAACTGGTGAGAGGAAGTATTCTGGTTTCATGTAACTGAGGAAAAGAGAACTCTCAAACTACTAAAGGTCTGAGAAAGAGTCTGAAGCAGGGAAGGATGCACAGACGATTCGCATACAGTTGTGTGTAAGCTGAAACAGCGAAGAACACTTAAAAATATTAATATACAAAGATAGTAAACATTCTAGATCTAAAGCAGACATTTGAATTCTAGAACCAATTAAATGTATGAATAGACAAATAGATGAGTGAAAGCTTATTAAAAAGAAACAAATTTAGAGCTAGATAAAGGATAGAATAAAATATCTCCTGATACCTAGCCCTGTTCTCTTAAATACAGTATACCATCTATCCAATCTAATATGAAAGAAACCAAAAGATGAGAGTGGGACAGGAAGTTGGACATAATCTTGCAGTCTGATGTGGCAGAAAGAGTCAGTAAGGAATTATGGACTACATGTAAAGAGTCACATCAAAAACATGACAGTTTTTGTCCATATGGTTTGGGTGGTGACCACATTTGGAATATTAATTTCTGAATATCTCTTTATAAAAGATATTTTGATAAATCAAAGTTCACTAAAGAGGTAAAAATAAAAAAAAAGGGGGGGGGGAGAAACTGACTTCGGCCCTAATTTAGGAACACGCTTAAGAACATGCTTAAGTACATCCTAATTCAATAAAGCACTTAGGCATGTGCTTAGTGATAAATATGTGCTTAAGTCCTTTTGATTTCAATAGGTTTAAACATGCGTTTAAGTGCTTTCCTGAACTGGGGTCTTTATGGGAAAAGGATTAAAAGCAGACCACCAAAAAATTTTGAATGGGAGTGTGGACCCCTTTGGAAATCTTAAATACAGTCTGTGGACCCCCGGGGGTCTGCAGAACACGGGTTGAAAACCATGGTAATAATATGTACAATATGCCTAACGTTTAACAAAGGAAGGGCATATTTACACTCTTCAGATATTTGTACCCTGTTAACACCAAGGAGGAGAGAGAAAGAGAGAATGATGTAGGGTGGTCCAAGGGACTACGAGTAGTGGTTTGAAATTAAGGGGGAATTGTAGGCTGAATACTGAGTATCAGGAAAAAAACTTCCTGACATGGAGCTCCATTAGGTTTTCTCAACACAACTGGTACAAGTTCCACCACTTGCGACAGAGTTACAGTAGACTGGATAAAACAGTAGAAAACTGAGAACAATACTACACTGTCAAATATATGAACCAGAAGACAAAATAGGTCTTTATCTCCAATTTGAATGAATATGGGTAACTGTGCTCACATCTTTGTAGGCTGGCTGGACTTCTAGTTCTTACAAGAACAGTCCCACAGAAAACTTAGACAGGATATTAATATCAATAAGACCCAATATCAAGAAGAAACTGCTTACTTTTTTAAATTCATCATTTTGTTCAGCAGTTTTATTCTTGTTAAAGCTTTCATGAACTGCTTGTAGGTTGAACAACATTAGCTTTAAAGCTTCAACTGGCCCATGGTGGTTACCTCCAGAAAATGTATTTTCCTAAAACCAAAAAGCAGAAAGATTTTAGATCTTGCAATGAAACAAGAGCTGTAACATTTTAAAAATCAGACCTGCTACTTTTAATTTTTCTTTAGGACAATTTGATAGTTGTGACCTATGTGGATTTTCCACTACTTTGTCAGCCTATATAGAAATAGCATTCCCAACTATATCAATTTTATGGCACTGTAGCCCATGGAACCAACGCAGGTACAGTGCAGTAGACCTTGAGTAACAGAGGGTATGTCTACACTGCAGTTAAACACCCGCAGCTGGCCCGGGTTTGCAGGGACTGGCCAAGGGGCTGTTTAATTGTGGTGTAGGTATTTGGATTTGGGCTGGAACCTAGGCTCTGGGACCCTCCCACCTTGTGGGGTACCACAGCCCGAGCACCAGCTGGAGCCTGAACATTTACACACTGATTAAACAGCCCCATAGCACGAGCCTACTGACATGTGCCAGCCATGGGTGTGTAATTGCAGTGTAGACATTCCCAAAAGGCAGAATCAGGTCTAGAAATGATAAAGGAATACAGGAATTGCTCTGACAGCAAGTTGGTATAGAGATCATGCTTTTAGTATGTCTTGTCTTTATTTGATAGATGTAAGTTACACTAATAATGAACATAGCTGGGCACACAAATTCTTAACTCCAAATATTAATTTTAATAAAAATATGATAAATCCAGAACCAAACTCAATCCCACATTCACCCATAACATGCACACCATATGTTCCCTAACACTTGGAAAGCAAACACCTTGGAAAAGAGTTGTTTAGAAAATGTGGAAATTCACAGTTCAGGTTCTAATTTTGAATGTTTAATTTTAGAAGGGACATCAGTAGCTTAAGAACAAACATCACCTCTGTTTGAAAATTATTTGCCTACTTTTGTTAACAAGTAACACTTCAGATTACTATAGTTGAAAGATGAGAGGAATTTTTTTTTAAATTGTGATTTATAAGGGAAAGCTATGAAACTAACTAGAGAGTGATCTTTGCATGGATTTTTCCCAAACAATAGATGAGATAAAAAACACAAAATATATAGGAATGACAGAGTAGGTTGCAACTGGCCTGGGAATGGCAAAACATGTGAAAGGAAGCATAGAGTCAAATACACCTCTACCCTGATATAATGCGACCCGATATAACGCGGTAAAGCAGCGCTCCGGGTGGGCGGGGCTGCGCACTCCGGCGGATCAAACCAAGTTCGATATAACGCAGTTTCGCCTATAACGCAGTAAGATTTTTTGGCTCCCGAGGACAGCGTTATAACGGGGTAGAGATGTATAGTAAAAATCTTAAATGAATGAAACTGTACCATAGAATCTCTATGGGAAGAAATTCCATGCTTGAGTAATAGAAGTTTAGCAGTAGGAATATTTACTGACCATATGACTATCCTCTCAGTATTCTTGTCCAGCATGCATCTTCAAGTCTTGAGTTTTCCCTTCAGCCTCCTCTCGCCTTCCCTTCATCATCTGCTCAAATCCCCTTCTAAACTCAACCATTATTTCTAGCTGCACCACCAAACCCAAGATCCTCTCTTCCATCAGATCTATCAAGGGGCACTTCATAAAAACGAATCACCTTTCAGGTACCCTCTCCAGAATGATGTACATCCTGCAGCTTCCACACCAACCTGTCTTCATTGTTTCTTCCATTCTTTAGGTCTTTGTAGCTGTCATAGCCTCCTAAGCTCCCATAAACAACAAGCAGAACAAAAAAACTACACACAAACTAGACACACCCTCCCCCAAACTCCCACAACTCCCCTGTTTTCACAGCTCCATTTGATGGCTCCTGTGCCTCTGGTTAGCCAGTTGGCTGCCTTTATATGTCTGTATATGTTTGTTGAGAGAACCATGTTTTTAGGTGTGTGTTGAGAGAAGCAAAGCATTAGATCACAGCTAAACCTTGACTGGGGGTAGGGCTTGCCTAGCTATGATCTAATGCTCTGCTTCTCTCAACACACTGCCCCCTACCAAACTTTACAAACTGAAAACAAACCACCGAGCAAACACATACTCTCAAGAACTCATTCACTGCCCCTAAGGACCAGAGGCTTGTCTCCTTTTTCCTACAACAGATCTCCACTCAAACTCCCGTTTTCATAATTGTTTGCTGGCTCCTGTGCTGCTGCTCCTTTGGAGGAACCACGCAGATGAGCATATGTTAATCAACTCCATCCATTTTGCCCTTTGAAATTCAGCAAGGGTAGGTGAAGAGTAAAAAGCAGAAGAAAGGAGTAAATGTGATTCAGAATATCGCTTGGAGGTATTTGAAATTGAGGGGAGGTGCGAATGCTGGATCAATTATCCAAAGAGGATCGGGAGAATGTTACCTCATATGTAGATAAGGAGGTGGTGAAGATGAGGAGTAGTCACCTCATATGTAGAGGAAGAGGTGACTGAGTGGACTAAAAGTGTTGAGACTTATCCAGGAAACGGGTTTCAAGACTAATAAAGAGAAAGCCCAACTAGTGCAGAGGAAAGTGAATTATTTGGGGGATGACCCTGGGGGAACAAGGAATTCAGATAGATCAACAAAAGGTGAAATCATTAATGAATTTACCAAGGCCAGAGGATTCTCATGCGTTGAGGGTGATGTTAGGTGGGTTTAACTATTTAAGAAAACACATCTGGAATTTTGCCACTATAACTTGACCCTTGTGGTGTTTACTAAAAAAAGAAAGTAGAATGGGAGTGGGGGCCTGAACAAGAAAAAGCTTTCTGTAATTTAAAACAAACTTTGATGCAAGCTCCAGCATTGAAATTCCCAGAAATAAACAAGGCATTTGTGATTAAGCTGGCAGCAACCCAACGAAGTCTAGCGGCGGTATTGCTGCAAGAAACTGACAGGAAGTTAATACCGGTAGCATATGAGCCTAGATTAACCCCTACGGAGCAGCAGTTTGGGATCTGTGAAAGAGGATGTTTAGCTGCTGTGTGGGCCATTGAAGCTTTTGCTTTGACTATTGGCACAGTCCCTATTATAATACAAACAGCTCACTCTCCCCTGAAGTATATTTTAATCAGGAAAACTGCAGGGGAAAGGAATATCATATACCAGGATGGCCCAATGGACCGTGATGTTAACTAGCAGAGTTGTTACTTATGAGAATAACAAACAAGCAATGGTGTTCCCATATGCTCTCCTGATGGAAGGAGAGGCGCATGAATGCCCACTTCCAGAAACTGAACCAAAGTTAGTTGAAGAAGCACCCCCAGTAGAAGAGGAGGAAGAGGGTACTGTGGAAGCAGAGAAAAAACTGACAGGAAGGGGATTGCAATGCATGACAGTTTGTTAGCAAGAGTCAGGCTAACTGTAACCCGAATAACGCGAGATTTGTAGAAGCGAGGAATGGGTGAGGTGAGTGGGAAAGATCTGTGTAAGAAGTTGTTGCGACCTAGTGTAGATAATGTGTAGATAATATGGAATGTAGACTAAGAGTCTACATTAGCGAGCAAAACAAGATATCAGAATGACCTATGTATAAACAAAATGCAGCTGTTGCTCATTATTGTCTGTAACAAAAGGTATAAATGCTTGCTGTAATTGTTTACCTGTTGAGAGACCTGTTTAGCTCTCTCCCTCTATGCAATTGATAGAGAAAAAATAAAGTATCTGACTTGCTGTACCCAAACAAAAAGTGAGAACTCTGTTATTCTCCGACAGCACCCAGAAGAGGAAGAGGAGGTATCAGTTACCCAGTGGGTATGAGAGTTACCAATAGAACATAAGAAAATGGAATTTAAACTAATGCCATTGAAAAAGCCAGAGACTAGGTGGATTCTCGTGTGGCTCAGGACAGTAGATTATGGAAAATTGGAGATAGAGTAATATATTTGAAATGAACATCGAAAAATCATGCCCTGGAGTCTAAATGGGTCGGACCATTTACCATCATGAATAAAATTTCACATACTGTAGTGCAGATTAAAAGGAAAAAGGGAAAGTGGGTCCACACATCACAATTAAAGTTATGGCCTAAAGATTAAATAATGTTCCTTTCTTTTAGTTTATTTTACAGAGGGAAAGGAATGCCCAATTGCACTGGAAATTATCCTGTACGGACCTTGGATTTGGAGTGAGAATGCGGTGCTACAATTTTTGTAATGGGTTTATTGCTTATGCCTCCTTTGCATTTTGTGCTTAGTAGAAGAATTGTGCTGTGTGTGTTATATTTTAGGAAGAAAAAAAAAATACTGGAGCTCAAGCGAAGATAGAAGAGGGTAGTGTAAGTATTTAGAATAATACGGCCGGAAGCATCGGACATTATTCCTATGGAATAAGGGCCATGGCTTCAATATTGAGGAGCCTCATAATTCAAAAAGGGTGGAAATATGGTTTTTGGCTTTTATGTTTTTTAAATATTTGGGGATATGGTTGGGTTTTTTATGTTTAATCAATCAGATACCAGTAAACAAGATTGCACCAGGAATCATGGCAGATGAGCACCCATATAGTAGGGAAGAAGTAATCGAAGCCCCAACTATTGTGGATCAAACAATCTGGTTGGAAGAAGCGAAAGTAAACATAAGTACACAACATCTCGAGTGTATGCCATATGCCTTGCCTCTATTACAAGCATGGTAACAACAATGGGGAGACAACACTATACGAAATAAGAGGTACAGGGGACTATATCGTAGGTAGTATTGGAGCTGGAGTTTTAAACTCGTTTGATGTTGAGACATTACAAGGGAAAATGTCAGCTTTGGGGGCTATACAGACACATGCATTATTGGAACAAGGAATAAGAAGTGTGGAACTCCAATTGAAACAAGCCCAAGCCTTGAAAACATCTCTAAATGTAAATCTATTTGGTGTGTGAGAGATTGACAATAAAACTGTTCTAGCAATACAAGTGTACAGATGCAAACTTATGGGATACAATACATCGAAAGAATGGTTAATCTGTTAAGTAATGGGCAATGGCCTTTCGAATGGTTCAAAGATCCTCATATATGGAATCAATGAATTACAGGATGGAAGAAATATATGGAGTTTAATTGGGATCAAGCCACTCTGAGGGGAGAGCGGAAAGGTAGAATGATGTTACACAACATGGGGAAGCAAAGAAAAGAAGCAATGGCCTGGATATTGCCAAAAAATTATTAATGGAGAGTTATGGCAAATAAAAATAAGTGGGACACACTTGATTGAAGAAGAAGGGGATTATAAATTAATAGAATTAATGAAACATTGTGAAGAGTGGGGACGAAGCAAATGGGTGTGCCCAGAACTAACTTGGTCCCTAGAGGGATGTCATTTGAACCATTCAAGCGGACAATGTACCATGCAATATTTAGCCTCTAATGGCACAAGAGTGTTTGATTTAGGCAATAGGTGTTTTTCAGTGGTTACCCCACAAATGCATGTATTTTGGGGAAGTATGACAGAAAAAGGCCCAATTGGGTCATGTAAACGTAATGTAACGGAGGTCAATTATTTACCGAGGCACTCTATTTTTAAACAAGGAAATGATGTGGACTGGTCCTTTGATTTGGGGATACATTGGGAACAATGGGAAAAATTGATAGATGAAAGTGAAACAAATCAGGCAATATGCAAAAGATGTATCTAAGTCTGCTCAGCTGGGGAAAATCATTTTGATTCACAATGGTCAATTAAAATTGGGAAAAGAAGGGAAGAATTGGTAATTTCTCATTGGTTTGATGTTTTTAAAGGATGGCCTCCCAGTGTCACAGCTCTTCTAACAGGCTTCATAAAAAGCACTAGTGAAGTCAGTACAAACTAAAATTTCATACAGAATGATTTGTTTATACTGCTCTATACACTAAAAAGTAAATACAATATTTATATTCCAATTAATTTATTTTATAATTATACGGTAAAAATGAGAAAGTAAACAATTTTTCAGTAATAGTGTGCTGTGACACTTTTGTATTTTTATGTCTGATTTTGTAACCAAAGCAAAGTACTTTTTAAATGAGGTGTAACTTGGGGGTACACAAATCAGACTCCTGAAAGGGTTACAGTAGTCTCAAAAGGTTGAGCGCTACTGGTCAAGAGAAGGTAGACTGGAACAGGTTCAGAAAAGGGCAACAAAAATGATTAGCGATATGGAACAGCTTCCGTATGAGGAAAGATTAATAAGACTGACTTTTCAGCTTGGAAAAGGGGAGATATGATTGAAGTCTATAAAATCATGACTGGTGTAGAGAAAGTGGATAAGGAAGTGTTGTTTACTACTTCTCATAACACAAGAACTAGGGGTCACCACGTGAAATTAATAGGCAGCAGGTTTAAAACAAATAAGAGGAAGTATTTCCTCACACAACACAGTCAGTCTGTGGAACTCCTTGCTAGAGGATGTTGTGAAGGCCAAGACCATAACAGGGTTCAAAAAAGAACTAGATAAATTCATGGAGGATATGATGGATAGGTCCATAGATGGCTATTAGCCATAGATGGATAGGTCCATCTATGGCTATTAGCTAGGATGGGCAGGAATGGTGTCCCTAATGAATGAGTGACAGAGCATGGATCACTTGATGATTACCTGTTCTGTTCATTCCCTCTGGGGCACCTGGCATTGGCCACTGTCGGAAGACAGGATACTGGGCTAGATGGACCTTTGGTCTGACCCAGTAGGGCCATTCTTACATACAAGAGGAAATACAATACATAACTAACCTGTGGAACTCAACTGATTGACAAAAGCTATTACTGAGGCTAAGAGATTAGTAGGATCAAATATTTATATGGAGACCACCACTATTTAGTTACATCAGATAGGAAAAACATTAAAATATAGGATAGAAAATTCAAGCAACTAATGAAACAATAACTATTACCAAAATAGGTTAAGACCAGCTGCTATTTATTTGCAATTCTTGATCACAGAAGGGTCAGAATGTAGGGTTTAATCATTAAAATTATGTGACTATTTAAAGCCATTACAATTTTTCCTTTTGCTGTTAACTCATTATTAAAGCTAGAACAGAAACCAATTTACAAGTGTTCCTCATGCTACTATTTATTGGGCTTATGTACTTTTAATGCCCATGTTAGCACAAGCACTAGAAACAATTTACAGAACTGTAAAGGGTTATGATTTCCTTTAAGACTACTATAAGCAAGAAATATTACAAAACAGGCATAATTCAGCTTAACCTACCTGATTGTCATTATTTAAACAGTCTTCAAGGAATTCATTAACCATGCTAGCCTTGGGAGATTGTAGAGTGTTCTCATCTTCCTCACAGCGTACAGGCACTGGAGGTTTGCTAAACAAAAAGTTAAACATGCAATTGAAAGCATGAAACAGCTTTACAAACTCAAATTGCTATAAAATACATTCACATGTCATTGGAACTAATGTTTCATATGCTTATAAAATATACAGATAACAAAAAGCTGGGAGAGATTGCAGAGGACAGGATTAGAATGATGCTGATAAATTGGAGAATTGCTCTGAAACCAACAAGATGAAATTAAATAAAGACAAATGCAAAGTACTGCACTTAGGAAGGAAAAAAAAATCAAATGCAAAATATAAAGTGGGAAATAACTGGCTAGGTAGCAGCACCGCAGAAAAGAATTTGTGGGTTAGTGGGTCACAATTTGAAATTTAGTCAACAGCGTGATGCTGGGGTGTATTAACAGAGGTATGGTACATAAGACACAGAAGATAACTGTTCCGCTCTACTTGGCACTGGTGAGGCCTTCAGATGGAGTACTATGTCCAGTTTTGGGCACCACACTAAGAAAAACAATGAAACTGGAGATAGTACAGAGGAGAATAACAAAAGTGCTAAAATGTTTCGAAGATATGATCTAGGAGGAAAGGGTGAAAGAATTGGGCATGTTTAGTCTAGAGGAGAAGAGGCTGGGGAGGGGAACATGATAAGTTTTCAAATATATAAAAAGTTGTTTTAAAGATGACCATGATCAATTGTTCTCCACGTCTACTGAGGGTAGGACAAGAAGTAATTGGCTTAATTTGCAGCATGGGAGATTTAGGTTAAATATTAGGAAAAAATCTTTCTAAACAGCTAAGCAAGGGAATACGTTACTTAAGAAGGTTGTGGAATCCACATCATTGAAGGTTTTAAAAAACAGGTTAGACAAACCCTCAGGGATGGTCTAGGTATACTTAACCCTGCCTCAGCGTGTGGGGATGGAGTAGATGACCTCTTCAGGTCCCTTCCAGCCCTACATTTCTATGATCCCATGCCTACCCTAGCCAAAATGTGATTCAACACAAGTTCAATTCCACCACTGGTACTGACAGGTTAGCCCTGTCTGCACCACTTTCCACCACTGGTGATTAAGTTCCACTTTTTCTGTGTAGACAAGACCTTCATAGTCATTTTAAAAAAGGAGGGGGTGTAGTGGAAAGGAAGATGAGATATTAACATTTTTTACTATAGCTTTCCACTATACCAAATTCGGTCTGCTCCCTATATTTGGAACAATACTCATCTACCAATGCACCAAGAATCTTCGCTCTCCTCTTTCAAATAACTCATCAAAACATCCTATTTACACCACGGACCTCTTTTCCTGTGTTAGCTAATCCTCCCCCCTTGACTTCATTTTCAAATCAGAACATTTAAGGTTACTTTCCCTTACAGCGTAGGTCACATTATTTGGTCCTGTAGAAGACAATCCTTTTCTGTCGGACAAGTGGAATTTTACATCCAGGACTATTCCAAACACCCAGTCCAAGAATCTAAACCCATCTCTGAAGCTGTCCAGGAGCCTCCACAGCTATCAACTCCCCCCTCCCCCAAACAAATGAATAATGTGTCAGTGTGTTCCCTTACATCAAAACTTTTCCTGCACTAACAAAATTTACAAAAATAGTGATCCAGAAATATATCAAAGTGGGTTTAGTGAAAGTAGAAACCTGATAATTGATAATATGATTGAACAGGAGACAGTAGTGTACCACCTAATATGATAAAATATCTTCTAAAAACACTCCCTTCTCTTTCCTTAGCATTTATATGTGAGCAAATCATGCTGATCTAAAATTATCTATAGCAGTGGTTCTCAACCTGCGGGCTGCTTGCAGCCCAATCAGCACACAGCTGCGGTCCATGTGACCTCAGGGCCATACATGTTATATATAAAAGAGAGAGAACCACTGATCTACAGCATACACACCACATTGCCTAAGTACGATATGATACACTTTCAAGAACAAATTCTTTTAATGTTTATTTTTGTTTACTCACAAAGCAACTGGAACATTTTCCCAGGATCTTTCTGCTTCCAGTATATCTACTGTACAAGGGCTGCCATCATTTTCCAGAGCACTTGATAAATTCTCAACAGAAGACTCTAGAGTTCTCTTTGCCTTCAAGATAAGCAACTCAATCTGGTCATCTTAAAAAAAAAAACAAAACACAACACAGTATCACCAGTTACTATACACCAAGATTCTTCAAGTCAGCAATTTCACTTTCATTATTACATGATACTGTTCAGACTTATTCTAAATAATTTGTAAGACACGGGAAATAGCCTGTCCTCTTTCACAGACATTATTGCCAAAATTTTCAAAGTGTGATGCCTAAAATTTTGCTTAAATATGAAATTAAGCCTCTTAATATGGAACTATGAGACTAACTCTAGGCACCTATTTTTAAAAATCTTGTCATATGATTTTATAAGACATAAATAAGTCTCCATTCCAAGCTCTAAGTCCCCAGAAAAGTCTCAAATACAGTGGACTGCTCTTCCCAACATCCCAGAAGATAAAATAACCTCTACAGTAAACAAAAACTCTTTAGCCTTCAACCCACCTCAACATTTGGGGAAAAGAGAATTCCAAAGTTGAGTATCCCTCACAAAGAATGCCCTGACAACTGTCTCATGTTTATAGTGGGGGACCTCCAGCATCAGTGCCTCTGCTGATCTTTATTGTGGCTGTAGGGCAGGGGTCGGCAACCTCTGGCACGCGGCTCGCCAGGGTAAGCACCCTGGCGGGCCAGGCCGGTTTGTTTACTTGCCGCGTCCGCAGGTTCAGCCGATCGCGGCTCCCGGCCAATGGGGGGTGGCAGGAAGCTGCAGCCAGCACATCCCTCGGCCCGCGCCGCTTCCCGCAGCCCCCATTGGCCTGGAGCGGCAAACCGCGGCCAGTGGGAGCCGCGATCCGCCAAACCTGCAGATGCGGCAGGTAAACAAACTGGCCCGGCCTGGCAGGGTACTTACCCTGGCGAGCCGCGTGCCAGAGGTTGCCGACCCATGCTGTGGGGCCTATAATTGTTCAATTGCACATCTGTGTCAGATGTGAATTGAAGGGAAAATTAACATAGCCACAGCCTTTCCAGGCAGTCAGATGTTTCCTTCCATAACTCACTTATAGAATACAACATTCAAGATTCCTTAACTTTATAAAGCACTCTGATATTAAGATCATTTAATCAAATCTACGTTAATATTGAGGGTTCTTAAATGGCTGGCAAATAGGTGAGTTTTCCTCTTCATAGTGTTACATAATAGGTACTTCAAGAAGTTCTACTTGCGCACACACCATATGTAATTACATACAAAAACGGCATTAGTTAGGTTGCAAAGTCAAGCACTCGAAAATTAGGAAGTGGCAGATTTACGTTTTCACGTGCAACCCTAATTCAACTACCTGTCCAGCCAGCCTCTGGACTGAGTGAGGTAGGGGTCCTGTGAAAAAAAATAATGTGATAATATAATTAAAAATACATATACACAAAGGGGTGCAAACTAAAGTTATGCAGGCATCTGTAAATGACATTTCCGAACTTCTGAGTGCTTGACTTTGTCATCTAAAATAATGGTTTTAATTAGATTTTATATGAATTTCGTAGGGGGTTGTTTTTTCTTTTTTTAAATAAATCCAATCCCAACCATACATCAACACTGCAGCACAGACTTCTACCCCTTGAGCTACATGACTAACCACATTAGCTAGCAACAGGAAAAAGCTGTTGGGGGTGGGCTGCTGGCACCACATGCTGGGGGATTTATGAATGGAGTCCAGATCAGCAAGCTGCCCCCCACCCTGGGAATTGAAAGAGCACCCACTCCACATGATGCTCCCACGGAGGATCGGAAACTGGACACAAACTGGCTATGGGGTAAGCTCGGCTTTCTCATCCCCTAAGGAGTTGAGGGAGCTACAGCGCCACATTGTGCCCCCTGCAGGGATAGGGCGCTGAGTCCTTCTCCCCATATCGCACAAATGGGCACAGTAATGTCCAGCTCCCTCCATTCTCTCCTGCTACAGAGGCTCACAGGTATTCTCAGTGTGGTATCTGCTGCTGCTGTTTTGGGAGAGGCTGGTCACAAAGGCAAACCAGCTAGAGGTGTGAAGTCAAGGTGCATAAATTAAAACAGTGTTAACTCTCATTTAGGAGTAAAGTGCCCTTTGTTCACACTAACTTAGAGAATGTTAATATTATGGACTCTACAGCGGCACAGCTATAGCACTGCAGCTGTGCTGCAGTAGCACCATAGTGTAGACACTTTCTAGACCACCAGGTTTTTCTGTCTCTGTAGTAAATCCACCCCCTCAAGAGGCGGTAGCTAGGCTGATTCAACAATATTTATAGAGTGTATCATCAAAGTCCTTCAATATGCCTAAATACTCAGGAGCATGGATTTTTCACCACTCCCCCATGTAGGATAGGTATGAATAGTCTTACTGTGCAGCGGTTCACTCTGCGCAATATAGCAGGAGCATGTTCGGTCATGTGTGACTAAAAGAGTAACATTTTGCATTTAACATTCTCAAGAAACATTCAAAACAAATCATGTGTAATGCAGTTACCTCTGAATGGCTATGTAATGCAGTTACCTCTGAATGGCTGTTTGGACTGTCTTGAGAGAACATTGCCAGGTTGGAAGTCTGTACTTGGTCTGACATATCGGCAATTTCCTGTTACTTCACTGTCACCTGTTGGCTCCAGATAACTATTTTGTTCAAAAGAATTGCAGTCTAATTTATTCACAACGTAGTTTTTTTTCATACTCTCACACATTTGTGAAGAGGAAAATTCATCTTGCATGTTAAACGTTTGAATAAAACTTTGATTAGCTGAATCACATAAAAGGTTATGACTCTTTAGCCAGATTGGGTACTTGAAATCAGGAATACTACTTATCCCCGACACATTCAAGTCAGACTTATGGCTAGTAAGCCACCTTGGATAATTCTTGACAGAAATGGACTCAGAGTGTTGTTGAAAAAGGCAATCCCCTGCATTTTCTTTAGAAAATATAGAATTATATTTGTCAGATTTATACACATTGTGTTTCTCTTTGTCGATGTCTCTGTAATGATTTCGATTATCCACAGCGTTGCCATTGTCTTGGAAATCAAAGTCTTTTTCAACATCAAATGAAGAAGTCTGATAAGGATAGAAGGCAGGTTTTTTCAGTGACTTCCTAATCCACTTGCCACTTTGAAGCCCTGACCCAGAAGGAATCCTGTGGATAAAAGGCAGTGATCCATCTGCTGGAAATGCTAGTAGATCATCTGTGGTGAGACTAATCAAGTCTGGGTCACAAACAGTTTGTCTTATAAAAGGTAAGGCAATGGAGTTGAGTTTTACTTGCTGGTTAAAGTCCTCCAAAGCTGAAAAACAAAGAGACTGTTCTATATTTTCCTAAATTTAAAAAATGCATTAAAACCATGTATTTAAAAAACCTATAATAGATACATTTTTACATTACAGTTCTTTTACTAAATTATAATGTGAATATTGTATACTGATGTTTCAAAGCATCACAGTCTATCAATTCTGACTCCACTTCTCTCAAAATATTGGTGGCAAAAATGAACAAAATAAAGTCATTTAAAACTTTTGTCTTAAAAGTCCCCATGAGTCAAGATACTCATGTTATGCCTGTGGAACTGTAGAGGGGGATGGTTACGGGGAAAATCTAGCATCTTCTTTCTGCTGTTTATATGATTCATAAAACCAAAACGGTGCACCATTCAGAGAAGTGTTTTGACTATAAATGGCAGCATATTTCAGACATCACCTGGATTGGAGGCATTATGGATCTAGAGCTTCATTTTGTTTGATGCCCAGGAAGATGCAGCTTGGCAGGGGGAGGGGAGCCTGGGGGAGTTCTCAGTGAGATAGTTTATCCACCCCAACGCAAACATCACCAGAAAGTTGGTCACAGAGCAGAGGGATAAAAACAATGAAAATACCGCTAAAATATTGCTACCAAGAAGTTCTCGGACTCCTAGAAGGAAGGGGATCTAAGCTGCCATCTTTGTTTCACTGCAGAGGCATAAACTCTGATACAAAGTGGTATGGACAAACCTTCCTTTCCCCAACAGCAGTGCATTCCTCTAAAATGGTAACCTAGGATAAGGATAGGATATACAAACCATCCTCTACCCAGAACTTGTTCATATGCAAGATCCAAAATGGAACTACTACTACTACCTGTTCTCCCTGTAGGATGTTGAATCCCCATGCTTATAAAGGTGGACCTCCCAATGCAAACCCCTAGAAACAAATCTTGGCATATATTAGCAATAAATATTCCTGTTAGTATTTTTAGGAAGTTGTGTCAGTTAAATACTCACTTTCTTCCTAAAGCCACTTAATTACTTGGCTTGCATTCCAACTCTAATTTCTGCTCAGGCATCCCACAGTCACTTCTGTGCCTGACTACAATTTAGGTCACAAATATAAGCCCCCTCCCAAAAAAAAGTTAAATCAAAAGCTTGCAGCCTACCTATCCCCAAAAGAAGCTCTTGGGAAGAGCTTTCCTAATTATCTTTTTTGTAGTCACACAGACAAGTCTGCAATTTGAACTCTATTTGTGTTAGCTGTTTAAAGAAGATAGCAATAAGGATCTTTTCATATTTGTATAGCACTCTATAAACTAAACAAAGATCCTTAGCCAGAAGGGAACTGTCACTTTTTTTTTTTTTTTTAAAGTTTGCTCAACTACATAACCTCCCCGTCTTCTGTCAGAAATACTATTAATCACCCAGGGCTTGTCTATACTTATAGCTCTGCTACAGCATTTAGCGAAGACACTACCTCACCGCTGGGAGAGCTTCTCCACCTGCCTGAGAGGCAGTAGCTATGTTGATGGGAGAGAAGCTCTCCTGTCGACATAGGTCAGTCTACACTGGGAGTTCAGTCAGTATAACTGTGTCACTCAGAGGTGTGGAAAATCCAGCTCTGGGGTGGGGATGAAGGGCTCAGGGCTGGGGCAGAGGATTGGGATGCAGGGGGTATGAGGGATCCAGCTGGGGGTGCAGGCTCTGGGGTGGGGCCAGGGAGGAGGGGCTCAGGTCTGGGCCAGAGGGTTGGGTGCTGGGGATGAGGGCTCTGGCTGGGGGTGAAGGCTCTGGGGTGGGGCTGGGGATGAGGACTTTGGGGTGCAGGAGAGTGCTCCAGAGCTACGGTGGGGAGAGAGAGGACTCCCCCCAGCCCTCTCTTCCCTCAACAGCACCTGAGCTGGGGGGAGGGGGAGTAGGAGAGGCCCCTCTCCCTACTGCAGCAGCTCCGAGGCTGGGGCCACGGGATAGGCGCCCCTCTTCTGGCAGGTCCAGGCCAGGGGTGGGTTTGGGCCAGGGGAGGGGTGCTTCGGCCAGTCCGGGCACAGCAGAGTTGGGACCGGGGGAGGGCTGTCCCGACCAAGGCAGGTTGGAGGCCGGGCTAGGTTGGGGCCAGCTGCAGCAGGTCCCCCAGGCGGGTTCCCTGAGTGTCTGCATGGCGCTAAGAAGGCTGCTGTGCAGCCTACAGGGAACTTAGATAACAGCGTAAGTTTGTACTGTAGACCAGGGCTGAGTACTCTATTTTCAAAGAATTGCATTCGTATATAAACATGAATTACACAGATTTTAGGTACACACGTGCACAGCTGTCCATTTTGCCCATAATACATTTCAAATGACGATTTACAGGGCGCACAGAACTCATAGGATGCTGAAACCTTTTCAGCAATTAGCTTTTTAATTTTAAAGTTTTATTGGGACACAGAATTCAGCTAACTTTACTTTTTCCATGTACAAATGTTGAACTCCTATAGAGAGCGCCCAAGTTGCTATCATATGTAAATTGTAGCTGTTATCACAACATTATGTAGCACCACAAGTGCACATGGAGTCTCACAGACATAAGACAGCCTCTGCCCACCCCCCAAAAAAATCTTACAACTTGAATACTGTAGGATCTAGCATCAGCAAAAGAAACATAGAGGTGTCCAATTTTAGGGCATGCCTTCCTTCAAGGTTAGGCATTTTGCTAATACATCCGTAATATTTCAGGCTGAATAGTGACTGACTGTCACCTATACACGAATATTAAAGCCGATTACCTGTCTACCCCAAAGTGCAGCAAGTATATTAGAAGAGAAAAGTAGAATTGAAAGGACAAGACAATACTGCAGCTACAGAATGTCAGCCTGTGATTATAATAGAACTCACAAGCTATGCAGGGTCAGAATCCAGTCTTTTAGAAGAGATTTCTAAAACTGAGATTCTGATGGCATCATTAAAGTGTATTCTACCTTCCTAGCCAAATTCCATTTTAGGTATTTTTACTACCTAAAATCTTCCAGCAGTTTCAACTGCATAATGTATTAATCTACTGTATTAAACACATCCAGTCTTGCAAATGTAGAACATGCAGACATATGCTCAGTAGAGCACCACCAATGAGGCTCAGGGCAGAATTGGGGGCTCAGTTTGTAAAGTGCTTTCAGTATCCAAGGGAAAGAGAAAATATTTTCTCTAAACAGAAAAAGATGTTTTTAAACAAGCACGAGAATCAGAAAGCTATTAAACAAGAATATCAGCCTTATCTAACCATAAACAAACTGCATGCCACTAAAACAGTTTCTCTCACACCCTCACATCTCCAAGTGTTTCTGACTAGAGTTTCTGGTGGTGGTAATTAGAGTTAACTTGAGTTTATTGGCAATCAATTAACTAACACAGCTGTAAAGACTAATGCAAAACTTCTACAAACATTTGTTCCTAGTCATGGTGCAGCCAAAAACTCTAGTTCAGATAAAGCAACAAGTAAACCCCAACTATCTGAACTGATAATACCACCAGCATCTAAGAGGTGCTCAGGCAAATTAGTTTTATATAATTCTGATATTACTCTAGGAACAGAAATTGAATCCTTGTCAAGATTGAAGTTTAGGCACTGATTTACATTATTATGTTCTATACATGCACATCATATATTGTGGAGATGATTTATATTTAATCAGCTGCTGAGCAGTAAGTTTATTCCTGTACCTATGACTGTGTCCTCAGCCCACTATCCACAAATCTATTTCCCCACAGTGACTTATCCTAACATTCTTAGCCTCTGATTAGCTCCAAACATCAGTTACTCATTAAGTTGTTCTACCATATTTTTTCCCCCCCTCCCCCCCCCCCCCCCCAATGTACAATTTTCCATAAAATTACACCTGCCTAAGATCCAGGACACGCAATATTCACTGCGGTATCACTGACATGTTTTCTATTTTTAAAATAGCATTTAAGTCCATTGTGTCAGTGACATTTGCCATCTGATAAGGGTACTTTCCAGCTTTTCAACAAAACTCAACACTAGTTTTTGGCTAAGAGCTCAATCTCTCAGATCTCAAAAACATATATTTTCTGGGGTCCCCAGAAAGATATTTTGATTTCCATTAAGCTGACCACTGTTGGACTGATAGTAACTAAAGGCACTACAGATCAACGGATACACGACAGTAGACCCAATAACTTCGTTTTTAAAAAAGTGAGAGCTTCAATCCTGCAAACATACACACCCTCACTTTAAGAATGAGTAATCCCATTGACTTCAGTGGTATTACTTACCTGCTTAAAACTGAGAATGTGAGTAAGTGATGCAGGATTGGGATCTAAAACAGTGCTTTCATATATAATGTGTGGCATATATAGAACAGTGGTTTTATTCACTCCCATGGTAAGACCTGCACTATATTTATGTATATGGCAATAACAGCTATTCCAAACATAGCCACAGAGTTTAAGGCCAAAATGGACCACTAGATCATGTAGTTAGTGCCTGTATATATTACAGGCCACCACCACACTAAACCAAACAACTAAAATTAGACCAAAATTCTGTAGCCCCTTTATAATGCACCACTCCAGTAGTATTCTACCTTTTACTTATATTTGCTTATGATTTCAAATCTTAAGTTATTTACAAAAGTTTCATTTAATCTTTAATATGAAAGTAAGAGGTAAACAGCACAGTATGGAAGTGCAGTTTCACCCCAGCCCAGTTTGCAGTCCAGGAGATCAGGTTCCTTTACACACCTAAAAACTTCTACAGACAGGAGATGAAACTGAGGAAGTGTAGTTAGCAGACTTCTTCCACTTCCACCATAGATCTCTAATTTCAAATTTACATGGCTTTATTTTAAAAAGACTAAATATAAAAATTCATTTTTACTGAAGACTATTACAGAGAATGAGAAGCATCACTATCTAAGCACCATTCATTACACAATATGTGCTTACAATTTGTTATGTAGCAAATATTCATTAAATCAAATAGATTTCATCTACAAAACAAGTAATTAGGTTACTGATCAGTGTTAAGACTTTTGACAGATTTCAAATTCCAAAAAGGAATTAAAAATATTAAGTCTCAATAAGATATCTATAGCCATACGTAACAAAACAAGAACAGACTGAAAATTGTAAAGATGACAGAACCAGTTCATGAGATGTTCTCTTTAGGGATATGTCAAAATATTAAACAAAACCACAATTTAAGCTTCATTTACAGGAAACATACCGTATTTTTGTACAGAAGCATACTTTGCTGACTTATCTTTAGGAGTACTCTGACCTATGCAGATTTTTCCAGTGCTTACTTCTGAAGACATAAGACTTTGGTCAAAATCTTCAATATAAGCCTCCAAAGCCTGAGATGCAGAGTTGTATACCTTGTCTTTGTATTGAATTGAGCCATTTGAGTAGGAGTTACTACTGTTAAGGCTGCAGCTTGCTAGGAGAGAAGACACAGTAGATTCAGGCGAGTAAATGCCGTCTTTTTCAAACGAGCATGCCATGGCTTTTATCCAAATGACTAATGGAATCTCCTCTCATCTTTCTGAAGAGTCTGAGTAAAGAAATAAAAATATAAGCAATATATAACCTGTACTGAGATGTCCTCTCATACACTGTACTTCCAAATATCTGTATTTAATTTTATCAAGCGTCTGTATGTTTATTAATTTCCAGTAAGAGTTTCACCAATTTTGATAGTTGCACTATTTAAAAGCTAACAGATTCCATTCAGCAATGTTAAGCTTTTATTCAGCTAAAAGCCAGATATTCAATCTAGCTACTGACCTCAGAGCTTTAAAAAAAATAAAAAAAGTTTATGATTTATACATGTATGAGTAGGCAATATCAGAAAAACAAAGGCATTCAGAGCACAAAACAAAAAAGTCTGGACAGAGAAAAGTGAAAGAATCTGAGTGTTCATATCCAAAAAGGCACCTTGTATGCTGTACGGCCACCACACCGTTAAACTAGCTTTTTCCAAACAACAATTAGTACTGAAAGACCCCCGCTAGCCCCAGTTTAAAAGCAAGAGGAACATTTAGCACATGAATAGATTAAAGTCTGCCAGACCCCTGCCTTCAGCTGGAACATCCCAAAATGTCATCCTAGGACATCACAGCTACCACAGAAGACCAAAAAAATAATAGAGCAAAATTGAAGTGATTAGTAAAAATGGTTTTTAACAGTATAAGCAAGTGGTTCAGTTGAATATACCAAAGTGATAAAAGCACTGTCATTGCAGAAATTCAAGAACAGTTTAGATGCAATAGGACTGGGAACGGTGTATTAAAGACCCCTGCCAACTACAGGGGTGGGTGACATTGGACAGGCTGTAAGAGCTTTTCAGGTCCTCCGTCCTATCTATGCAATTAAGCTCAAGCCAATTTATCACAATTCCATGGACTGACATTCACTGAAGGGTCATAAACAGAGACTAGCACTAAATGCTGAAGCTGGGATTTTCAAAGAAGCCTAAAGGAATTAAATCCCATGGAAAATAGGCACCTAGCTTCCTTTAGGCTTCTTTGAAAATCACAGCCTCGCCCAAGCTGGCACCTCACACGAGAGGCAGGGCTGTTGCCAAGCCCCGACCCCCACCGCCCCCAGAGACCGTCCGCCCCACGGCCCGCTCCGCACCTCGCTCTCCGCTCCGGCCGGGGAGGCTACAATGCTGAGCCCCAGTGGGGGGCTTGGACACCCCGCGGGGGCTCTAAGGCACGCATACCCAGCCGGAACAGTCAGCGGCGACATCTACTCTCCTCAGCACCCGAGAGCCGCCGTTGCCGCCCGCTAGTTTAAAGTACAACGACCCTTCTTTCAAAATGGCGCTTGGCTAGTCACTGCGCAGGCGCACCAGGTCGCGCTCCTTCCTGGGAGTTGTAGTTTACCTCCTCCGTCTGAGCAAGCTGGGGACTACAACTCCCAGAATGCCCAGCGGGCCGGTGCCACATATCGCCGCGGCAGGCGCACGCTGCTGTGATTCAGAGAGCTGAGCTGGAGTCTGGGTGCCCTGCTCCTGGGTGCCAGGAAAAAGATCCACTCCTCGCTTAAATCCCTCCTGGAAACTTACGTCTTCAATGATGTCTACAATAGAGGACCCAATAATATGTTATTTGTCTATCCACCCATCAAGCCGAGCCACTAAAATGTGCCGACATGCCTAGATCACCCCACTAGCTGCACTGAAGTAGCCCTCCTCTTTCTTCCTCCCACCTCCATGTCCCCGTTGCTGTCCGTGCAGATTCTGTACCTCTCTCTCCAGGGCCTTATATGGCCCTCATCGCAGTAATAGTGACTGCGATACCATCGGAGCACCCGCGCACGCCTGCCAGGGGCGTGAAGGGTGTTGCCGAGGGAAGGCTTTGCAGCAAAGCCTTTGCTTTCCTCTACCCCGCTTGCGCTAGTGAGAGGCGCGGACCCTGCCAGCCAGGCCTGGGCTGGGTGGGTAAGTGGTGCAGCAGGGAGGTGTTACGTCTGACACACCCCGCCTGGCTGCTGTGGGTGAGGCTGAGCTCCCGTGTCTCCTGCCTGCAGCGGTTTTAGTGTCGGACCGCATTCGAGGGCACTGTATGCCCGTGGTTTGTGCCCGTGGGTCGCTCCGGCCGGAGGGTGCGGGCTGACCCCACGGCGCACACAGTGGGTGTGGCTAGGGAGAGCTGGCGGGGGGGTTCATAGCGAAGCGCGCGCGATACCCATCCCCCGTCAGCCAGCGCAGGGCTGAGCTCCGCGTGCGGGCCGGTCGGGAGCCGAGCAGCTCAGTCCGCCTCTCCGCTGCGGCGGCTGCATGGAGCTCCCGGAGGAGGAGGAGGAGGAGGAGGAACCGGATTGGCTTTGCCCGGAGCCTGGCGGTCCTTGGAACCATGCGGCGCCCGGGAGAGGCTCCTCCACCACTCTCGGAGCACAATGTAAATACGGGCCCCGCGGGCCGCCTCACACCGAGAACGGGGTGGGGGGAGGGGCTGGAGCTGTTGCCGGCGGGGAGAATCTGGAGCCCGCCGGGCGGCAAAGTCAGACAGACGTCGAGAGCTGGGGCCCCGATACGAGTCTTTGTCCCGCCCGGAACTGAGCGACTCCCCCTGGGATCCGTTCTGCCCCCTAGCAGCGTTCCCCCGGCGCCCCCCTGGTTTTCTCCCCCCTTTCCCCCTCCTCCCTGTTTCTCCCTCAGTGTCCTCCAGTGCCCCTGTCTCCGCACAGCGCCCCTCCTATCTCCCCCTCAATGCTTTCCCCCCCCCGTCAGATTTTGGGGCTAGTTCAAATGTGGAGCTTGTCAGAATTCGACTAACTTTTTTTTATATAATTTTGATGGAGAATAACAATGCTTATTTTTAATCATTTTCCTAGGTTTTAGCAATTTTTAAATTTTCACATTTGTGGGATTTTTTGGGGGGCAGGGCTATAACAATGTGGGCTGTGACAGACGACAATAATTTAATGAGAGTAGACGGAGTGAGATTTAAAAAGTTAAAGCTTTGTAACAGTTAAAACACAAATTGCCAACATCACCTGTCAAAATATATGAAGTAAATTTTCTCAAATCGCACACTAGTAAGTTCTCAAACAGAAATTTTGTTACTTTGCCTGTCTGTACATTTCAGTTATTATCAGTGGAAATATTTTTGTTGGTTTGTGTGTGTATGGGGAAATCAGTATTTACCTACACAAATGTAATGCCTCCAAACCTATTTAAATGTTGACAATGTAGCTGAACTCTGGCATCATATTTGCTTGTAAAACACCACATCTGCATGAAGATAATATAAATAATATTATCTAGAAAATGGTGCTGCTCCCAGTGTTCAGTCCTGTTTCACATTAGGAACATGCAAAAAACCAATTCAATGGAATTAGAAACCTTGGATTGAAGCAGTTGAATGTTGCACATTTCAGCACATTCTCAGATAACTTAAAGTGCATTCTCGTTCGTCTAAAGAAAACAAAACAGAAGTTTCCAGAAGGGGGGAAATCTGATATTTTTTGCGTATTAAAATGTAGCTTAGTACACTTTTTCTTAAATGTTCCTAAGAAAATTTTCATCTTTGGGTCAAGAACCAGCATAACTGATTTAAACTTTAAGAAATATATTTTTTTGAAATTATATAGTATGGGCCTTACTATATAATTAAAAAATATATTTCTATAAAGTTTGCTTTTTGCACTTGACAGCATTTTTGCTCTCTGGTTGATGATCGGTTGCATCGCTCATGGGCTGCTAGTAGGTGGAGTTCATGTGTGCATTCTTTCATAGACAGGTTTATTTATTTAAACCTGTAGCAGCAGAAAAGCTGAAATTGTAGAGATACTAGGCAGGTGTATTCTCAGAAAGAGGTAGGAAGTATGTTTGGTGTTGTCACTTTTGTGCCCACCCACTAGATGCTTCTAAATAGAGCAGGAAAATTCTTATACATTTTCTAGCATTAATTAAAATAAACCAAGGCATACAATATAAAGGGTGCTGTATCAAAAATATAACTTAATACAATTATTCAGTAAAAAAGAATCGAGGTGGCACTGGCCATCTAAAAGAGGTCTTCAGGATGTAGTCAGCAGTATCTTTTACTGATACCAACCCACTGTGCCAATTGGCTTCTGACCGAATTAATGTACAGTTTATAAACTCTCTACTTTGCCACACAGTGCGTGGTTTCCAAGCATAGTTTTCATGTGTGAGATCATTTGCTGCATTATTGACAAGGGTAAGAAGGATGTTATCATCTTTAAACTTGGTTGTATATTTTCATTGCAGCAGGTCATGACAAGACTGTGCCATCAGGAAGTACAGCGCACAGGGTAATTGTGCATACTGACCTGGACTGCTTTTATGCACAAGTAGAAATGATCCATAATCCTGAATTAAGAGACAAACCTTTAGGTAAATTTATATGTTGCTGTTTATTGCTGTTTGGTTTATGTTTATGTGGTTGGGAAAGACAAAGATACTTTTTTACTCATACTCTGGTCTTTCATAGTTTACTCCATTTGGTTGTAAGGTTCATTTGAGCTTAAAGCTGTTGGTACTATTGCATGTGAATTTATTAATCAATGGAGAAAAAGAGTGAAGTAAATATTTTTTTAATGATTTTTATACTAATGCAGATGTGCCCATGTATAGATCAGGTTGCATGATAAGGGCCAAAAGTAGTGAGAATACCTTTTAATAAGTGAAAAATGAATATGGCATTTAAGAAAAAATATTTTATTACCATAAAATGTTCTAAGAACATGAACAAGGGTCCTGCTTCCTTCAGTCTTGCACAATAAAATTAGGGTGTATTTCTTCTTAAAAACAGTATTAAATTTTTTACTGATTGAGGGATTTGCATTACAGGCTTTGATAGCAAAGTGTAAATCAGTGGCATGGAAGTACTGTAATAAACAAGTGACTCCTTAAAATGTGTTATGATTTTCTACCTTTGTTTCCAGGTGTTCAGCAGAAATACTTGGTTGTTACCTGTAACTATGAAGCCAGGAGACTTGGACTTCAGAAATGTATGTCTGTCAGAGATGCTAAAGAAAAATGCCCAGAGCTAGTGCTAGTTAATGGAGAGGACCTGACACAATACAGAGAAATGTCATACAAGGTTACAGGTACAGGTTAACAGTTTTTTAATAGTGGGAAATAAGTACTGTACATATACTTATTATGGTAAAAATATTTTCCTGCATAAACATTTCTGATTTTATATGAGCTTTAGAAAATTGTCATAAGGCTTGTAGGGGATGCCATCTCTGTCTCTGATTCCATCAGATTTCACGAACTAAGCAGTTGGACTCAGTCATTATCTAGATTAGAGGTGTATGCTGGATTCAGCCAACTTGGTGAATTTAAATGGCCTGCGTGACATACTAGGACTCTGCAGAATCTTTAATGTTAATATTTTTCAAATGAAAGGTAAGTTTCAAGGCATCATGGCTGCAGAGAGAACCTTCCAAAAATGAACTGAGGGGAAACTGATGTCATGACATCTGCCTGAGACTGCAGATAGCCTGAGTCAGTGACTCAGAAGTATGAACTCCCCTGTCCCTTGTTAATCTTCTTCAAGGGGTTGATAATGAAGTCCACAGGATTGGGAATTTGGAGTTGCTGCAGGGAAAGAATTACAGAAGTTTAAAAACTTGAAAACTCACAAAGAGAAGAGGGAAAGGAGCAGAGAAAGGAAGTAAATCATACGGCAAAATAGCAGTGGCCTAAAGGAAAGCAAATTTTCTCATTGAGTGCTGAAGAGAGAATAAGGTATTGAATAAATACATTTTAGTATTACCTTGCGGCTATATTCTCCCCTTGAGTTCTGTGCAAATTTCTCATTTAGATCAGTGGGAAATCCACTGTGGATTGTAGAGAATATGAAGTCCCAAGTTTACATTATTACACTGTGGTTATTGTCACAATTTCAGATCTACTGCACCTCTGACTCCCTGTGTAGTTTGCTCAAGGGATGTTCCCTTAAGTATCGGGGATCTAGCCACCACCACCTCTTTCCAGACAGGGACCTGTGTCCCTCTCCCTCCAGACCTGACATTTAGGCTGCAGCATCCTGCAATTCACTGTGATTATTCCCACAGGTCTGCCCTAACTCAGCTGTCTCTCAAGGGCTAAGACAGTGATTTACCAGAGACCAAACAGCCATATGCAAAGCACAGTACATTTATTTTAGGACAAACATATTACAGAGAAAACATAATAAAACAATAACCAGTCTAAACACATACTTTCGCTTACTAGAGATACCCCCTTTCTCCTTATGGAGACTCTATGCCATTCCAGGGTGCAATCCAGACTAGTAAGGGGTGTCGCCTCCTGCCTTGCAACCTCGGGTGCCTCACAATGCTTTGCTGTTTAGGTCCCACAAACAGCCCTCTAGCATGTAGGTAACACCCTTCGTGTCTGTGTAGCTGCCGTCCTGGTCCAGCAACTCTGACCCCAGCAGCCTGTCAGCAACATGCCAGCCACACTCTAGCTTCCAGCAGCCTTGGTTACCACTTACAGAGTGACACCAACACACTTCCAGTCCTGGATTTTCCCCAGAAACTTGTGTTCTGCAATGCCCAGCCCTCTCCTGGACAGTTCAGATACTGTTGCCCCTGTAACGGATCAGTGTACGACAGTATGGTACTTTAGAGTTACTAAACAATTCAGTTTAAAGATGTCACTGGATTCGTTTTGATTAAATAATAAAACAAGTTTATTTAATTTCAAAGAGAGGGTTTAAGTGAGTACAAGTATAAGGTACACCTCTACCCCCGATATAATGCTGTCGTCAGGAGCCAAAAAATCTTACTGCGTTTTATAGGTGAAACCGCGTTATATCGAACTTGCTTTGATCCGCCGGAGTGCACAGCCTCCCCCCCCGGAGCACTGCTTTACCGCGTTGTATCCAAATTCATGTTATATCAGGTCGCGTTTTATCGGGGTAGAGGTGTATTGAAATCACAAATGGCTACAAAAGAAATAAAGCTTAAATGCTTTCTAATAACTAAAACTTAACAAACTAGACATGGTTCAAGGTGAAATCCTTACCACATGTTCCCAGCAACAGGGCTGAACAAATTCTCAGATCCTCTCAGAACCCTCCCAAAGGCTGGTTACTTTGCCTTCTGAAAGAGCGAGAGAGAGAGGGATAGAGAGTACCTGGGGTGTTTTTCAACCTCCCTTTTATAGTCCAGTCACCCTTTGAAATGCATTTTCCTGAGGGTTACACCTAGATAAAGTTCCTTCCAGTTCTGAGGATGGAGACATGGGGTCTTGTGGTGAAAGAGGTTCCATGTTTGTTAAAATACAAATCCATCTGTTTCTGCCCCCCTCTGCTGCCAAAGAATGGCCACTTGACCAGGAATTGCCAATCGACTTTGATGACACAGGGCTAGAAGCATCAGTTTGTCCTTCATCTTCAAGAAACTGATTTACCCACTCCCCAGACTTGTCCAGTAAACACATTTCAGTCAAAACTTCATCTTATGTTCATAACTTTACATATTATGTTGCTACATGTTTTTCACCATGACATTATTGACCAACAAGTTATTAGTTTTCAAGTGATACCTCACAAGGCATATTTTGTACAAAGATTATTTCAGTGGTGTATAGGCAGTGAATACAGGGGTGCATTCGGTCACAGACCCTATTGGGTTCCAGTCTTTCAAACACTTAAGGAGGGTCTCCATCTTGGTTAAAGAGTCATGTCAATTTGTTGGATCAAAAGCAGGGCTTGGTTTGAACCAGTATATGCAATTCATCATGGGGTTGGTACTTTTCTGTAAGAATTTACCTGTCCCAGAGTCTAGTAATTATGCCCCCCAGCAATTTTAGATCTTGGATGGAGCTTGGTAACCTTCCCCACCAGCCAGCATACAGTCCCTGGCTCACTGAGATACAGTTGAGACGAGGTGGGTGAGGTGTAATATCTCTTACTCAGACCAGCTTCTGGTAGTGAGAGAGGCAAGTTTACACAGAGCTTTTCTTCAGATCACCTTGTCTCCCTAATGTCCTGGAACCAACACGGCTACAGCAACAGTGCATAAAACAATGAGAGATAGTTAACATTTATAAAGTGGATACAGTAGTCTAAAGATATGCCTGTGTTTGTCATACCTGTCCCAGTTATGTACTTTGCTTTTTTCCATAGAGCTATTGGAAGAATTCAGTCCACTGGTAGAAAGACTTGGATTTGATGAAAATTTTGTGGATATCACAGAGTTGGTAGAGAAGAGACTAGCACAGCTGCAAAGAGATGGCTGTTCCAAAGTGTCTGTGTCTGGTCATGTGTATAATAATCAAAGTGAGTGGTTATTCCCTATTTTGCTAAAATATTGTATTAAGTGTTATTACTTTTTGTACTAAATTTTATCTTTAACTGAATTTATTAAACTTTCAAAACTGCATGAAAACACATTTCCTATTCAATACAGTATTGCCTGGAAAACTTTTATTTTCCCTGTGGTTAGACTGCCAGGAACTGGCTTGCAATATATCATAATTTCATATGAGAATCTCATTATTTTGAGTGGAATATGTCAGTGGAAGTTGGGCATGCACAGTGAGTTGGGAGAATAGATTCTTTTGTTTATGTGGTCTTCAAAAAAGACAGTTAAATGTAGAATTCAATACCTTGTTTGATTGAGCTTGAAGTAACAGCTTTCATGTTAATTCATGAAAATTTAGTTTTAAGTGTTTGGCTACTGTGTGTCAGCTAATTGAAATTTTCATCCAAAATATCCTTAATGTATACCGAAAAACAGAGCAAAGTTTTGCTATACGGGATGCCTGCATGGGAGACTTATACTGAAGTCACTGGGGGCTGACTGTAGAACTTGGACTGATTCATATTCTCCACTGGGATCCTTCTAGCTCACAAGTGCCCACAGTTGGCATAGCAAGATTTGTATTCATTTCATAAATGAAGGAAAAGAGCAGTTGATTTTTACCAGACCAGATGTTAATATCAACTGTTGCTATAATTTTTAATACAGTTCTGAGAAAGAACTGCCTTAATAAGATCTCATTTCATTAGCGTTCACACTTGAGTAACAGAGATGGACACCTTCCAGTTACCTTAATTAAACGAATGTTGTACTCCTAAATCTCTAATTCATTTACTTTTTCCTTTGGTTATATTGAGGCAAGAGTCTGTTACATGATGATATTTAAATATTCTTCTTTGACATCTCTTAAAGATTTATAGAGTGCATTTATCCTTAAAGTGCTTTCCAAATATTAAGTAATTCTCACCATAATTCTGTGATACTAGAGTATTACCCTTTTAATTTTAGAGAGGAAGTAACTGAGGTACAAAGAGGTTAAATACTTACTCCATGGCAGTACCAGACAGAGAACCCAATAGTCCTTACATTCAGCCCCTTGATCTACACAGTAGACCACACTCTTTCCCATAAAGTTTTTAATGGGTTATAAGCATAAAAATCTTCTTATTAGCGAAAGGACCTGTAGTGATGTGAGTGGTCATTGTATGCTGAGAAGTGACCACCTCTTTTTTTTGTCTCCACAGCTGTCAATTTACATGATGTTATGCATATAAGACTTGTCATTGGATCTCAGATTGCAGCAGAGATGAGGGAAGCCATGTACAATAGATTGGGTCTTACAGGCTGTGCAGGAGTGGCCTCTAACAAATTACTATCTAAACTAGTATCTGGCACCTTCAAACCAAATCAACAAACAGTTCTTTTACCTGAAAGCTGTCAGGACCTAGTAGGCAGCCTTGATCACATCAGAAAAGTGCCTGGTAAGATATTGGTGCCACAATCTTTCATATAGACATTGTGAGAATTCATAATTTTAATATACACACTATACTTTTAAAACTGAAAATTTTAAAATCTGTTTTTTCGTATTTATTTTTACTTTTTGCATTTTACTCAAACTAGTCAATGAAACTCTACTAGTTTGTACTTCTGTCCTCCAGTCCATGTCACTTTTGGTTCTGCGGTAACACAAAAGCGTTTGGGTTGCAAATACCTAAAAAGAATGTATAAATCTCAGACTGTTTTCATTGAAACCCAAACATTGATATTGATATACATACTTTTGAAAAAAAAAAAAAAATTTGCTCAGTCCTAAAATGTGGGTCTCAATTACCTGAAACTGTTGCTTCAAAGAACTTCCAGTTCTATAATTAAAATGGTTATATTTGATAATGTCTAGTTTTATATGGCAAGACCTTATAAATATAATTTATAGGGAAAAAGTATTTTAGTTTATTAACCAAATAATAAATTAGTTTTTAGTATTTTATGTAATATATAAATTATAAGTACAACTTGCTAAGCATATCTTAATCTTTTAAATGACTTTGCTGTGTACTGTATTATTTTGTAAAGAAATTTTACTCACGTTATCACACACCTTTTTCATCTAGGGATTGGCTATAAAACTACCAAGCGCCTAGAGTTGCTGGGTCTCAGCAGTGTGCGTGATCTCCAGACCTTTTCACCTGTAATACTAGAAAAGGAACTAGGAGTTTCAATTGCTCAGCACATTCAAAAGCTCAGCTATGGAGAGGATGACTCCCCTGTGACCTCCTCAGGACCTCCTCAGGTACAAATGACATATGAAAATACAGTTTTTCAGAATGAGAAAGATTGCACTCTTTGAGTCCAGTTTTGCTGAGCTAGCTGAAATCCAGTCATAATGAACAAAGCAATTGTCATACTGGATCAGACCAGTAGTCCATCTATTCTGGGATCCTGTCTCTGACAGTGGTCAGTACTAGCTGCTTCAGAGTAAGGTACATGAAATCCTACAGTTATGGGATATCCTGCCACCCAGGAAAGTTTTTCCCAACTCCCCATAGCTAGAGGTTGGCTTATGCTGTAAAACATGGCAGTTCATATTCCTTCTAAAATTATTTTAATTTTATTTATATTTACTATTATAACTCAGGATATTTTTGTTACCTCTATTAATGTCTGATCCTTTTTTGAATCCTGCTGAGCTCTAGGCTTAATGGTATTTTGTGGCTATGAGTTCCATAGGTTAATATGTGAATTATGTGGAAAAGCGATTCCCTTTCATATCTTTTGAATTTGCTTGGTCACTTGGTAATACACAAAATTAAAAGGACTATTGCATTTCTTACAGTCCCTTAGTGATGAAGATTCTTTTAAAAAATGTTCATCAGAAGTGGACGTTAAAAGGAAAATTGAAGAACTACTTGCTAACCTTTTAGACAGGTGACTGTCTTCATTTGTTCTTATTGCTGACTGAGTTTGTGACCTGAAAGAACACTGGGCATATGTAAGGTTTGTCTCATATTTTGCAGAGCATACTTTGGTCTCTCCTATCTTCAGAATGCGGCCCCTCAACCCCACCTGCCTCTCTAACTACTTCCTCATTACCTTCTGCCCTTTATAGCTGAACTTGTGAAATGTGCCCTCTACAACTGTTGCCTCAAATTCTGCTCCTGCAACTGTATCCTGCTCCTCTCCCCCAGTCTGGCTTTCACCCTCTCCACTCCACTGCAACTGTTCTCACCAATGTCTGTAAGCTCTTCCATTCTTACCTCTTCAACCTTTCTGTTGCTTTTGACACAGCTGATCATGCTTTCTAACGGCCTTGTCTTCCTTTTAGCTTTCATGATTCTGCCGGCTCCTCATTCTCCTACATCTCTGATCATCCTGCGTTGCATCTTTTTGTGTGTCCCCTCCAGTCTTTCTTCTATTCTCTTGGTGATTTCATAGGCCTCCTCTTTTTCTCTCTCTATCCTGTCCCTGGGTGATCTTATCCACTTGCATGGTTTCAGTTACTATTGTTATGCTTCTGTCTCACATCTTCTTCTCTACTTCTGACTGCTTCCCTTGGTTTGATCTTGCATCTCAGCCGGTTTCTCTGACATCTCTTTAATGTTGTGCCATCAACTTAAGCTTAACGTGGCCAAAACTGAACTCCTTATCTTGCCTTCTACTGTTCTGCACAACCACAGACAACACCATCATCATTCCTGTTACAGGCTTATAACCTTGGGGTCATCTTCAACTCTTCCCTTTCCATTACCACTCAGGCAGTATCCAAATTCTGCTTCTCCTACATCATCATCAAGATACTTCCATTTCTTTTTGTACAGACAGGAAGAATTAATTCATTCCCCTTATCTCCTGTCTTGATTACTGTAGCTACCACAAGTATGTCTACACTTCAGTGTAACCCCAGGGTTTGAATTCAGGCTCAGGCCTAACTCCCCTTCCATCTAGACAGAAATTGTGCTTACCCAGGGCTTGGATCCAGGGTTCCAGGACACCACAGGGGTGGAGGGTGTTAGCCTTCCACTCTGCCAAGTAGAATTGTTCCCTTCAACGTATTTTCTAGTACAGTCATTCTCAACCTTTTACATATCAGGACTGCCTTTTAATACTGGGACCTTACTACCACTTAACAATATGGGATGGACAAGATGGTTGCATCTCTAGGTTGAGAACTATATTCTAGTACTTCCAGCAGTCCATGTCTAAAAATCTCAAACAATGGGGCTTCCACCACTTTCTTTACTAATGCAGAGATTTTTTTCCTTAAGTGAATAAAATAGTAAGTTTTTTTTCTATAAATCTTCAACTGTGTGCAATACTAAACAAAAACTGTTTATTGAAACCATTTGTAAAAAATGTGAAGAAATAAATAGACATTGCCAATAAATAGAGTTGAGTTAGGAAGCACTAGATGGTATCAATTGGGGGAAATGAGGCAGGAAAGAAATTAAAGCTAAAGCTTTTTATGTTCTATACTATTACCATTATTTTGTTTTACTTTCTTGATGGATTTAAAAAAGATATACATTATTTACTTGATCCAATTGCTTTGAAAGTATTTGTAAAGCAGCAGTAATGTTAATTGCGCTGCACACTTTAATTTTCTTCAGAATATCCAAAGATGGAAGAAAGCCACATACAATAAGATTAACCATCCGTAAATTTTCATCAACTAATAAATGGTTTAGTCGGGAGAGTCGTCAGTGTCCTATTCCCTCTCATGTCATTCAGAAATTTGGGACAGGTAAGAGCTTTTCTGAAGTTTTGTTTTCAGAAAGTATTTGGTCAGTTGTTACTTTGGTGCACAATATGTTCTTTGAAATTTTAACCAGGGTGTGTCTAACTGTAAAGACACCCAAGTATTTGGCACATTCATAGGAACAGTGAAACGATACTTTCTTCTCGGAAGGAAGGTTTATCAGTCTATTAATTTTAGTATCAATAAAGTTTCAAGTATTAAGCATAACCTTTGTTTTGCTTTAAGTTACTTTAAATCTAGGTTTCTGAACAATGTTTCATATACTCTTTTTTTTTTTTTTAATTTGAAGTATTGCTTTGTTTTTATGTGATAGATGTACCTCAGTGAAACAATGTTAAAAACACAGGACTTCCTGGCAGGAATAACTTTGTTTAATAAGTAACAAAGTTGTTAACTCAGCCTTAGGGTGAGCAGACAGCAAATGTGAAAAATCAGGACGGGGTGGGGAGTAATAGGAGCCTATATAAGAAAAAGACCCCAAAATTGGGACATCTGGTCACCCTACTCAGCCTTGCAAGATTGTTATGGGAGTTTACTAACCCAGGCACAAAATATACTTGCCTGCCTTTTACCCTGATGTTGAAACATTAATTAAATGTAACTCATCACTGTCCAAAAAGAAAAGAGAAAGAAATTGCATGCAAGGGATGAGTGAGTGAAAGGAATTTTGTATGGCTGTTAGCTATAAGATTTCAGGATCTTTCTGAATCACTCCTTATCCAACAGTGTGTGACATGTATACAGTCTTCCTCCTCCTGAAGCCAGGGTTTGTCCATCCTAAATAGAGATCACAGTCTTTCATTTGCCACTTCATATGGAGTTTATCTTTTCCCCATATTTGACCTATCACTTCACTACTATTCAGTATCATTATGTTTTTTCTCAGTAAGTATAGGGTTTAATAAAATACTGTAATCATAGACAGGAATTAGTAAAGGGTTTCACCTCTGAATCCAGTCTAGACTGGAAGAGACCAAAAGTTATTGCCATCTGATATGTCCACACTCTCCTGCGTAAAGTAAATAAGTGCTCTCAGTCTAGATCTTTGTTGTCAGATAGCCATATCACACAAATTGTCGTTGTCATTAATTGGATCCGTTTGAAGACGATTTAATAGAAATGGATAGTGAGCTACTCTGTTGTATAGAAAGGCCTTTTCCATTTGCAGGATGTTAGTTTAATTGCTTGTTTAAATTGACCACTTTTCCAATTATCACATCACTTCACAACAGAGATGGCAGGGCAGAACAGGAGAGCTTGTACCATTAATGTCTATGCTATAGAGATTCTGTGGGCATGTCTCTAGGGTTGTCAGTCTGGCACTTCTTGCAATCATAACATTCATTTCAGAAAACCTTTTTAAGTGTCAAAAACTGTAAATTTAACAGCCTCTTTATTTTCAGATGATCAAATAAATGTGCCTTACTTGGCATAGCTGTAGTTAAAATCCCTCACATTTCCTAAGAACTGAGATTTTTCAGTGCATTCAACAATTAGGGTAAATGCCAACTTATTTTGCATTAGTGCAAAGTGTTGAAAGTCCAGACTATCTCATGCACAAACCTTAATTCCATTTAGCCCCTTATAGAAAAGTTTAAATTAATTCTGCTGTTTGTTTACATTTCATGTTCAGGAAACTATGATGTTGTGGACCCACTGGTTGGTATCCTTATGAAATTGTTTAGAAAGATGATAAAAGTGGAGATGCCATTTCATCTTACCCTTCTGAGTGTCTGCTTCTCAAATCTTAAAGCTCTGCCTAGCCTCACCAAAGGATCCATAGGATTTTATTTAACTCGGTTGTCACCCCCTTCAAGTTCTGGCAAAGTAAGTTGAAGATTATTAAAAACTGTCAATCAAATCAAGTGCATTAAATTCAGACTGAGACTATGTATATGCTCTAGTATCCTTAATGATTTTTAAATACTTTCTTAAGAAGTTTTATAGTCCCAAATATCATCTAGGTAGTAAAAATGAAGACCTCTGTGAGCTCTCCTGAGTACAAGCTATTTACAAGATGTGTTTACGCTATCCTTCTTTGGGATAGCATAAACAAAGGATACTTCTTTGTTTTCAGTTGCCATGTCTTGAATGGGACAATACTAGGCAATTAAACTTTATTACTGTCGGAAAGAGAGATGAGCTTGTGGAGCCAAGGTTTTCAGAAGTGGATGCCTAAAATTAGGTTTCCCACAGACTTTAATGGAAGCTCTTCTGCCTACTCAGCACGTCTGAAAAATCAGGCCACTTAATTAGATGCCTAAATATGAAGTTAAGAGCCTCATTTTTCAGCATCCATTTTTGAAAACCTCAGTGCTTCTGTAATGTGTGATCTGTAGGTCATGGTGGAACTGAAGTGACCTAAATATTTCTTTCCCTCATAAAATATCTTTAACTGTTTAGCTTGAATTAAATCTTGTTAAAGTGCCCTTAATTTACCTTTTTGCACTTAGCTATAAGTGTGTCTTCAAACACTGGATTGCTTTATTTTCCATATGCTTTTAATTCCTAGCCTGAACAGGGTGAGTTAAGGGTAGGATTTCATCTTCAAATCTCACTTACATCATTTAAATCAACTATGATGTGTTACTTTAATATAGTTTTTTTTTTTTTTTTAATGGAAATATAGGGAAGTTGACAAAAACCATGGTTGAAATCTTGGCCTCATTGAAGACACTAGTAAAACTCACATTGATTTCAGTGGGGCTAGCACTTCACCCCAGATGTGTATATTTTTTAATTCTTTAGTATTTGTGAGCCACTGTACTGTTTATCATTTAAGATCTACTTTGTATTTAGAAACTTGAGGTTAAATTATCAAAATTCTGGTCTTTGGTTACATACAAGTAATCATGACTACAAGTCACACATTTATACAGGCAAACAGACACTTGTGTCTATAATTATCAGTATTTGGTATGCAATTACTCCCTTAGGTGAGATGTGCAGTGAAAAAAGGAGAGAACCAAGAACAAAGATGTAAACTTTGCACATTTTGTCCATAGCTGACCACCTTCCCTTCCACAATCTGTCATACAACCTATATGCAGACATTCAGCTCTGTTAACTCCCTACCCCGACTTCTCAGGTGTCCATGCTCACATATCTTCTCTCTTCTCTGATAATTACTTGTATACACAAGGTCATTCTTTTTTTCTGGGTGCAACATAATTTGGTTTGAAAGTTTTTTCCCTTTTAAATTTTCTTTAGATGCTAACTTTAATGATACAGTCCTTAAATAAGTATTTAGGCATATTGAAAGACTTTGATGTAGCTGGGCTGCCAGACGGTACGATGAGATACCCAGTTTAATGTTGCTTTTGAAATTACTTGTTTTACAACCCCAGCAAAACTCTCTTTAAATATCTGGTCTGTCATCTATCTCTAAGTACTGTGCTGAATAGAAAAATCTTTGTTGCCAGATGATTCAGTGGTAATTTTTTGTATGTGGAAGTAGGATTTAAGGGATCAGTATTAATAAAATTGTATTTGACATGATATCCTTTTAATCATTTAATATATTTCATATGCACTATGTAGCTAAATAATATATTTTATGCTGCAGAAAATGGAAGGTGTTCCACAAGACCAGGTGAACTCCTGCAGTTTTGTACCAGATGGAAGAATTAGAAATACAAGAACTAGAGAATCTTCACTAGAAACCAAAAGCTGCACAGAAGAACATAGAATTCCTGTTTCCCCAATTCATTTGCTTCCTGCTGGCATTGACCAGGAGGTCTTCAGTCAGCTTCCAGAAAACATTAAAGAGGAAATTATTTCTGACAAAACTGGGCAAAGGATCCATACAAAGAATGTTTTGAGTCAGCCATTACCCTTTTCTAAAGGAGCACTACCATTTTTTGCACAAGAACAAATGCACACTACCCCGAATTCCAGAAGAGCAGATCATAGTATCAGCAGTCTGGTATGCAGAGAACACTTTCAATCTACCAGTGAGCTGGAGACAGCCATGGTACACAGGCCTAATCCTAACTGTATTCTCAGTCTACAGGATCCTCCTGAGTACCCTGAAAGGGCACTAATAGATGACTGTATGGAACAAGTACCTAAGGAATCACTGAATTTCAATAGCACTGATTCAATTGTATTGAACATGCAAAGTCAACATTTTCTTCAGCCCCACAGTTCAGACAGACAAGAGCAGCCCATTGGAGCAGGCTCTCAGGATAAAGGTCAGAGAGAGCAAGCGTTAGGAGAAGGAAGAATTGTATTTCCTCCTAATGTTGACCCAAATATTTTTTCTGAACTACCTGCTGAAATGCAAAAGGAACTACTGGCTGAATGGAAGAATCTAAAACCTGTTTCCAAAATGCATATGAATAAACCTTCTGAAAAGCTAAAAACAAACAAAGGAAAAAAGAATGCAGTGTTGTGTTCACCACAGTCTAACAGTTTATTAAGGTATTTTAAACCAAAATGATTATATACATAATACAGAGATGACTGGTGTAAAACATTTGTGATAAAATAAGGAGGTAATACAATCATATTCATGCATTAAAGAAATGCACTGTTTTAAAGTGTAATGTGACAAAATAGCATACAAAAAGGAACAGACCATCTCAACAACAGTGTAAAACTATTGATAATTCCTTTAAAAAGTGATTTAATACTATGTATTCTTGTGTTAAACTAGCAGATTAATGTTTTATTTAGTCCAAAGAGAGCCACAAGGGAGACTTACTTCCCCTTAAATGCACATTAGATGTGATTGAATCCTCCAGTTGTTACTACATGTACTAAAACATTGCAATCCAGTTTGAAACACTTACACTTGTTCTTGTATCAACCAAATGGCATCCATTAGGGCATGGATGTTCTTGCTGTTAAAACATTTTTTTTAAACTCAAAATACAGAAAATACTGACTTGGATGGTGGGGCTTGTGAAACTAATGGAATATAGAGAAAAAAGTACTGCTTTCTTAGTAGTTACAGTCCCTAACTGCTAGAGGTAAAACACATCGGTAATGTGACCAGAGCATCACAGCCAGTTTAACTCACAAATAGGCTTTTACTATTTGTAGTTGGAATAGCCACCAAGACAGTTGTCAGCATTTCCAGCCATTGATTAGCCTAGGCTCCAGTTTGGCAAGATACTTAAGAACGTGCTTAACTACTTCGCTGATTTACCTCAATATGGATTTAGGAATACAGATGCTCCCCAGGTTACACAAACCTGACTTACGGAAATCCGGACTTAACGGAACTTTTTTTTTTTTTTTTTTTTTTGCGTAATTGTTGAAGTATAATTTTAAAAAAATCTTGGCCAATGAAGACTGATTACAAAATTGATGTTTAAATGTTAGCTAATTATTCTTGCGAAGTAACTTGTAATAAACACATTTACAGTTGTTAATACCTTGCCTGTTTTATTCAAGATAAAATAACTTTGAGATGTACTAATCTAATGAGATATTTTATTATTAAAATGCCAATGCTTTTAATTCTAGGGCAAAATCAGATTATGCTTAAATTCTAAATACTGACTAGTTCCTCAGAGGAACATACTAATTGACAATTGCTACATAACAAAATTATCTCACAATAACTTTACACAGTAAATGAAGTGAAAGTGTGTTACAGAACACTGTATTTTTAGGTTACAATGAAGTCTGACTCTATTTTGTGTGTTTTGATGGCAACTCGGGCTCTGATTTAAAAAAAAAAAAAAAAAAAGCTTTTTCTTTAAAAATAGCAAAATGTACTGTTATGCTTAGTCATTATTTCTGCTACGAACAGAAGTACATGAAATTAAACTACACATTTACATTCTCCATATACACATCACACTTAAAATATTAAAGATCTCAAATTCTTTAATTTTAAAATGAACTTAGGTGACAGCTGCATATGATTTATATGTATACAACTTTCCTCTTATGTTTGGCATTGGTGTATAATTCTTTAGCATCTTTATTCCAGACCTTGCTTCAGTGATTAGATTTATGAGGGTAGTAAGCAATGCTATCTCCACCACTGACTGTAGGAGCATTCCTCCCCGTTCTGGCTGGATAAACACAATTAGTTTGGAATGTTCTGGATTCCTGTAAGAAAGGGAACCGAAGCTTTAAAATAAAATATTTATCCAACAATGAGAATTCTGGAGAGGAATAAATCTTTGAATATGATCTACAAAATGTACATGCTGAAATATCCTCTCTATTAAAGTGAAGGGATGTAGCATACACAGAGTTAATAGAAAATGAGCTTCAGCAAACCAGTGTAGCACATGCAAGTCTCATGTGATTGTGATTGAGAGCACCATGTCAGAAGAGGCAGGTCTGAGCCACAAAATTGGGATCTACAATCAAATCCAAAGTGTCCCTAAAGTACAACTGGTACCACAGAAATTCATATATATGTCAAAACCAGATCAGTTTTAATTTTTGTAGGTAGAAGGTTACTGTATTTCAGAGACCTTGCTTTATATAAGACATTAATACTTATTCCGGCAAGGGTGAACACACATCCACAAGGGTTTTTATGACCCTGGATGCAAGATGGAGATGGGGGGGCATTTTTGATAGCCCACACTGACAGCTAAGTGAGCAAAAACCAGAATTAAAAATGAAGAATCTATTGGTTAAACAATTAGTCATGTTGACTTGAATGTAGTTTTTAAAAAGGAAACATCTTTCCCCAAATGATACATACACCTCTAGCCCGATATAACGCTGTCCTCGGGAGCCAAAAAATCTTACCACGTTATAGATGAAACCGCATTATATTGAACTTGCTTTGATCTGCCGGAGTGTGCAGCCCCGCCCCCCTGGAGCGCTGCTTTACCGCGTTATATCCGAATTCGGGTTATATCGGGTCGTGTTATATCTGGGTAGAGGTGTATATTGATAACTCTATTAAGTTTTTTGTATTGTATTTCCAACAGTTACATTCTAGGCTAGATTTCAAAAAGATATCTATTGATTGTGCAAACAATTGCCCTAAATGCAGATTTCTAATAGAGCACGTATGTTTTTACAGGAATGCCTATTAAAACCACCTTTGAGATTTGATGCTTTATGTCCAAGACCATAAGGTGTGGCAGTATTTCAGGGCAGAAGAGTCACTCAGCTGGCAAACATCAATAATTAGTAAATGCAACTGGGGGAGAGGGGAAGGAAGCTATGCTTGGTGTGTGTTGCACCTTAACTGCAGTGGTCTTCACAACGCCACTGTCATGCTCTATTATGTCAGACATAGTGTGAGAGAGTGCTTGAAAAATGTACTTATTCAGTGATCAAACCAAGTATCCAGTGTGGAAAACACGTTCTGCTGCCATCACCCAAATGCCACACCCACACAAAGGAATGAGGATTAAAACAGAAATCATACAGTTGTGCCCTGCTTTTTGTGTGTGCACAGTATTTACTTGTAACATTTAATCAACTTTCTATTTAATTTTTTTTTTTACGTAATAGTGGTTCCTACAAAGATGGAATGGCTGGATCTGTTGCTTGCACTCTCTAGCCTCCCAGCTGATATGTGGCCAAATGGGTGTGTGAGAAAAACTGACTCAAAGAAACACTCTAAAGGGAACTGTTAGTCATCTTTATTTTGTCATACCCAAGGTCTGCCACACAGTCTGTTTTTCAGTGCTTCCCAGATGCATGAAGGTACCGGCTGCTATGGAAGATGGACCTCAAAGGAAACAGATTGCGCTCTTTATTCTGTACAAGCCAGCCTCAATGTTAGTAGTTCCAAAAAGCTATTTTCTGCTTTTTTTAGTACTAGAAATATTGAATGCTAGTTTTCCTGTTTTAGTAGAGGACTTTAAAGTTTGTTAAATGGAGGCCTCCTTTATACTTAAAGGCTAACCAAACATTTTTTGTTTCCTTTGCAATTCACCTTTAACAATTAAGAGCTGATCCTCCTCTTCAGAGACTATCACATATTTTGTGTTCCTAACTTTTAGTGAGATTGGCACTAGATCTAAAATCAGAAGTGGTCCAAACAGATGCTGCTGTGCTAGTACAATGCAATACCAAATCAATCACTCGGTTGTCCACAGTATCTGACTTTGGCATATCTGAAATATCAGCACAGCCTCCAGTTAAATTTCAAACAAAAGCTCAGAGGAATGGTCTAATTGTTTTTTATTTTATCCAATGTACAAAGTGTGTCTGTGCAAGCTTCCCCCGACTGCCCCTCTAATGTGCCTCTCCCCTGAAGCAGAGGGATCTTGTCTGACGTTCTTCTCTGTCCATTCAATCCTTGGCATCTCTGAGGCTGTCACCAGTGGTACAATTAAAAGTATTCATTGTAATGTGAACCCTTGTCGACTGAGAAATGAGCAGAGATTGTTGAAGCCATTAGACGGTAATATTTTTAGTCACTGTTAACATTCATACATTATACTATAATGCAATGTTTTTCAAACCGTGGGTTGGGTCGCGGCATGTAAGGCACTGGGTCGCCTTTCTCTGGTCAGCATCGCCGACTGGGACGTTAAAAGTCCCATTGGCGGTGCTGCTCAGCTAAGGCAGGCTAGTGCCTACCTTTTCCGACACTGGGCTGCACCCTGGAAGCGGCCAGCAGCGGGTCCGGCTTCGGGGCCGGGGGGCCACGGGGCTCCGCACGCTGCCCCTGCCCCGAGCACCGGCTCCGCACTCCCATTGGCCGGGAACTGGCCAATGGGAATTGGAGGGGGGTGCCTGCGGGTGAGAGTCGGACCTGCTGCTGGCTGCTTCTGGGGCGCAGCGGAGTCCGTGGTGCCAGGACAGGCACGAAGCCTGCCTCTGCACCCCGGCTGCACTGCTGACCAGGAGCCACCAGAGGTAAGTCCGCACCCCAATCCCCTGCCCCAGTCCTGAGCCCCCCCCAGTCCTGAGCCCCCCCAAACCTGGAACCTCTTCCTGCACCCCAAACCCCTCATCCCTGGCCCCAGAGCCTGAACCCCCCAGCCCAGAGCCCTGATCCCCTCCCTCACCCCAACCCTCTGCCCCAGCCCTGAGGCCCCTCCACAAACCCAGAGCCCCTTCTGCACCCCAAACCCCTCATCCCTGGCCCCACCCCAGACCCTACACTTCCAGCCCAGAGCCCTGACCCCCTCCCACACCCCAGCCCAGAGCCCCCTCCCATGCCCTGAAACCCCCATTCCCAGCCCCACCCCACAGCCTTCACCCCTGCACCCCAACCCTCCGCCCCAGCCGTGAGCCCCTCCCACACTCCAAACCCCTCATCCCCAGCTCCGTTGGGTCGTGGGCATCAACAGTTTTCTTCAACTGGGTACCCAGAAAAAAAGTTTGAAAACCATAGCTATAATGGATCACAAGCTGCACATAAGTCAATAATGTGATGCAGTTGCGAAATGGCTAATATTCTGGAGTATATTAACAAGAGTGTTGTATGTAAGACATGGGAGGTAATTGTCCTGCTCTGCTTGGCACTGGTGAGGCCTCCGCTAGAGTACTGTGTCCAATTTTGGGTGCCACACTTTAGGAAAGATGTGGATAAATTGGAGAGAGTCCAGAGGAGAGCAACAAAAATGACAAAAGGTTTTGAAAACCTGACCTATGAGGAAAGGTGAATAAAACTGGGCATGTTTAGTCTTGAGAAAGTAAGAGTGCAGGGGGACTTGAAAACGGTCTTCAGATACGCTGAGGGCTGCTATAAAGAGGATGGTGATGAATTGTTCTCCATGTCCGGTGAATGTAGAACAAACAGTAATGAGCTTAATCGTCAGCCAGGGAGATTTAGTTTATATATTAGGAAAAACTTTCTAACTATAAAGATAGTTAAGCACTGGAAAAGGCTTCCAATGCAGGTTGTGGAATTCCCATAACCGGAGGTTTTTAAGAACAGGCCAGACAAACGTGTTAGGGATGGTCTAGGTAACTTATCCTGCCTCAGTGCAGGCGGCTGGACAAGATGACCTCTTGAGGTCCCTTCCAGCCCTACATTTCTACGACACTGGACACCTAGAGGTGAATGTTTCCATATCTAATCAGGCAACACACAGTTAAAACCTGTAGTGAAAGCTTTATATAAAATTACTGTATTACCTGGTCAGTTGTTTCTAACAGCTTGTAGGATTGTAATGCTTTGTTCCACTTGGCTCAGAATTCAGGAAGATACATACAAGGAATTACTTTTGCAGGCACATTCTTAATTATCCCTTCTCCACGGTATCTAGATTTTGTACAAAAAGAAACATCTAAAAGTTATTAAATCATGTTATGAACTGGAAGAAATAACTTTACAATATTAAATTGTCATTGTATGGGCAAGCCATGTTACAACTAGGGACAGCATGGAGCTGACATTGCATTTGCTGGATTGATTTAAATTCAATTAAAAAAGCAAGTGAGTTATTCTACAACTGATTTATTTTTTTTCCCAAATAGCATTACATTCTTAATACCATAAAAGATTTTTTTTAAATGTGTTTTACAAAACTATTAGGTTGGATCCTGTAGTTTAAATATACATTTCCTTTACTGTATTCATCCATTAACTTACCTTTCTAAATCTTTTAACTGTTTTTAAATGAATATTTTCAGCCAAATTAGGATTTTCATTTCACTTTGACAGGTATTTGATCATAAATCTCCTCCAGAACATATTAACAGCTCATGCTGATATCAATGGGAGGCATATATAGGGCAAGTGCTATACTAGAAACTCAGATGTCATTGCTAAAACTTCTAGCAACTATTTACTTATAAATATTTTCGATAAGTATTTGCTATTAAAATATAAATTAAATAGCATAATGACATACATCTGCACAAAGGTAAATGATGAAGTGCTAAAGAGTCATAAGAGTAATAAAATTAACATTTTAAAAAGTACACAATTAAAAGGAGCAAAATTATATTTAAAATGGATTACAAGGAAAGGAGTGCAATTCAGGGAATTACCGCAGCAGATAAAACAAATTTGTGAATTGCTATGAGACTTTTTGACACATTGTTTTTTGGGGTGAATGTAAAATATTTCACTGAATCAAGTCTATCAGTGAGTATATCAGATAGAGGGGAGCTGCCCTGTCTAGGCATTGGGCTGCCTGTGCCTTTAAGAACCCAGCCCTAGGAAGCCTGTGCTGAGACCTAGTCTGGCCTGTGAGAGAGGAAATAAAAAAGCCCCTCTGCCCTTAACCCTGTTTTTGCACACATGGCAGGTAGCTTATCCCATCAGGGTAACTGTCACTCCCCTCTCTGTCCCTCCCCATGCCGGGGTTTTGCCACCCTCTGGCAGCCCCTCACCCCTGGGTTTAACCCTGCCTGCTACTCCCCCTCTGATTTTGCCTCTCTCCTGCCCCTGCCTCCAGCTGCTTGACCCCCCCTAGGGTGACCAGATGTCCCGATTTTATAGGGACAGTCCCAATATTTGGGGCTTTTTATTATATAGGCTCCTATTACCCCCCACCCCCGTCCGATTTTTCACATTTGCTGTCTGGTCACCTTACCTGGCCAGTTAATTTCTGCCCCCTGCTCAAACCCTGCCCAGCCACTCACCCCCCTCTGATTTGCCCCCTTTAATACCTGTTAAGAGCAGGCAGTAGAAACCGATTCCAAGTGAGGGCAGCAGCTTCAGCAGATGTTACTGAGCATGCTCAGTTGGTTAGATCCCGCTCTGTAGAACATAAGCAGCAAATTCTGTCAGAGAGAAGTTTCTGACACTACAAGCAAAATAGCACAAAATAACACAACCTGCAACTGCTAAAAAAAAACCTGCAACGGTCAGTTATAAATAGCCCAGTTGGGCTGGAAAACCGCAGTCAATACAAAAGAAGTTTACAAAATCACAAGAGACAGCCCTCATGAAGCCAATAGGTTAATTTGTTATTAGTCACGTTTCATTTGGGCAGCGTGTGATGACCTCTAGTGGTGTGAAAACCATACAGGTATCTTTCTCCAAACTAGGAAATGAGAGATTTAGGGAAATATATTTCTCTCCCAAGTATCAATTGTGAAGACATCATTGGAATAAAGATTTAGATTGTTGGCACATTACAGTACATTGTCAGAATTTCTTCCTTGTTAGGTCTTGTTGCTGCAACATATCATTGATAGTAATGTGTATCTTCAACTAGTGCTAACTTTCTTATTTTTGACTCCCTACAGCTACAGATCGTCTGTTACGTTAATTTCAAAAGGCTAAATGAGAGGTCTAGGCAAATTGTTTTCTCTCCCTTGAACATAAGAACGGCCATACTGAGTCAGACCAAAGGTCCATCTAGCCCAGTATCCAGTCTTCTGACCATGGCCAATGCTGGGTGCTTCGGAGGGAATGAATAAAACAGGTGATCAGGTGATCCATCCCGTCACCCATTCCCAGCTTCTGGCAAACAGAGGCTAAGGACTCCATCCCTGCCCATCCTGGCTAATAGACATTGATGGACCTATCCTCCAGGAACTTATCTAGATCTGTTTTGAACCCTGTTATAAGCTTGGCCTTCCCAACATCCTCAGGCAAAGAGTTCCACAGGTTGACTGCATTGTGTGAAGAAATACTTTTGTTTGTTTGTTTTAAATCTGCTGCCTATTAATTTCATTTGGTGACCCCCTAGTTC